AAGAAAACCAGCAGAAATATCACCCATAACCACGTTATAAAAGATGAGACATTTAGCATTCCTCTACGGCTTTCCAGAGTTGGCAGCTTGATCAGTGAGAGTCTATCACTGTATGGTGGAAGATTATCATATGAATAGTTCAAACTTTGTAGACAGAAAAGTAGAAATTGTTTTTGAACAGATTCGATTCGGTCGCTGTGTGTTTTATAAATAGGATCCCATATGACCGAAGAGTATTCCAAAATTGGCCGAACAATTGACATGTATAAATTTTTTGTAACTTAAACTCCTTACTCCAACGTTTCACGAAGCCGAGAACTGATTTTGCTTTGTTTAAAGAAACAGAAATATGAGAATTAAAGTTAGGTTTACATTCCAATACGACTCCAAGATCAAAGAATGTATCAACTTTTTCCAGAGAATAGTCACCGAGTGTGTAACAAGTATCCAATAATTTTTTTCTTATGAATCTCATAAGTTTGCATTTTGAATAATTAATGTCCATAATTAATACTGCACCACTTAACAAACGAATTCAAATCATTTTGAAGCAAATGGTTCCTACATGTCTCCGAAATGCTAAGAAATATTTTCACATCGTCGGCATACATTAAAATATTTGAAAATTTTATAGATGAAGGTAGATCATTTATAAATAAAGAAAATAGGAGTGGTCCTAGATGACTTCCTTGTGAGACTCCAGAAGAAACCATACTCTTCGAAATGGCATTTTTAAAACATACTTTTTCTGTTCTATTTCGTAGGTATGAGAAAAGCCAGTTGGAACTTCTGTTTGTAAATCCAATATTTTTAAGTTTTAATCGTAATAATTTATGATTAACTTTATCGAATGCTTTGGAATCAGAATTTTACGCTGATCAAGAATATTACACATTGTTGGGTCTAAAATTATTATTTCGATGAGTTACAAACGGAATGACGAACTTAATATACCCTCCATACCATGTATTGTGGAGGGTATAAAATAGTATGATTGCACGAAATTACCTTTGTAATTTGGCCATGGAAACTGCTTTACCTCCTTAAAAATACGACTATATTACAGATTTTTTTGGTGACTTATAATAAAATTTGATGAAAAATATTGTGCTTTTGCACTCATATTTTTAAAATGACGCTATGGCTTAAATGATTGCACAAATTCACGCAAAGTGCGGTTTTAACCCTAAAATGTGTTTCTTATTCTACAAATGTTTTCTTGGCTAATAATTTTGTGGAATATTTTGACTTGATAAGATCCATTTTAAAGGAATAATTAAAAAAAGGACCAACAAACCCCGTTGTTGACTCGCTTGAGGGATACAATTTTCGACCAAAATATTCCTCTATTTTTATCTGACGACGAGGAGGAAACTTAGCCCTCTAATTAAGTGACTTTTCGATGCAAACTTTGAAAACGCCGATTAACGTGTCTTCTTTTTTTAAATATTAAAAAAATATTAAAATATTAAAAAAAAAAAATACTATTAGTGATATTTATTATTATTTCTGTCGTTACCTATTTCATTTAAGAATCGAACCGCTGATAAATTATTGTACCATGGTGGCTGCATAATTTTCTGACGTAGGTCAGGGTGTGCCTAATCGCTTTTGTTCATGCATACGAGTTTTTTTTTGGAAAACATGCACTTGAGTCCATAAATATAGGAAAGGCAAAAAATCCCCAACGATGGGGAAAATGTTGCAAACATATACGTAGATTTTAAATAAATTTATATTTTCTCACAGCTTGTAAATAATTGTTCATGCATACGAGTTTTTTTTTTTTGGAAAACATGCACTTGAGTCCATAAATATAGGAAATGCAAAAAACCCCTACGATGGGGAAAATGTTGCAAACATATACGTAGATTTTAAATAAATTCATATTTTCTCACAGCTTGGAAATAATTATAAGTCAATATTGATTTTGAGATTTAGTTTTATTTGTTTCTTTTAAAGATGTTAGAACACGCTTATCAACAATCAGCCTCAGTATTTGTTCATCTAATCGTAAAGTTCATTTAGGGGTACAAATAGAATAAAGTATGTGTGTGCCATCTAGAGATGTCGATTGAGAAGAATATCAAGATCTCACGTATTTAAAAATCTCGTTTTGATTCAACAATAACCTAGAAGAAATTTTGTACTTGAAATAATATAACTTATAACTTGAAATATAATAGTGGGTACCTATGTATAATGCTGTCTAGCCCTCCATATGCATATGAGTTAAACATTTAATAAAATGTTTTATGATATAAATATGGTATGTTTTAAACATGTTCTTCATTATATTAGAGCTTTTATAAAAGTACTTGATAACGGATAAACCATTGTACCATTGAAAACAAGATAGGGCACATCCCAGGCCTATTTCAGGAAAGATTAAGAAGGTAAATTCATTTCAAATAAGCATTCCCATCTATAAATTTTCTGTAATTTATTTTGTCAAATTTTACTGCATAGCTCCCATCTCTGATTTGTGTATTCAACTAAATAGAAAACACGTTGTATCTTTGAATTGGGAACATGCAATGGAATTTTAAATAACCCTTTTGACAATGAGATGTTGTCACTTGTATAATTTTGAAAAAAAAAAAAGAAAAATGCAAACATATCATTTTACGACGATACCTTCTTATTTCTATCATAGTTATAAGGAATTGCTTTGATTGTTTGAACTAACATATATAATTTAAAAAGATAATTTATTTCATTTTAATTATTATTCTTGAACCTTGTTCAAAATAACCTTGAACCTTGTTCAAAATAATAATTATTCTTGCATCTTTTTTCCAAATAATAATTAAAATTATTAAATTAAAATTATTACTTTGAACAACGTTTGTTTATCCAAAAACGACAATGATGGTATTAAACATAATTACTTTGCGACAAGAACATTTTTATACCCTCCACCATAGTATGGAGGGTACATTAAGTTTGTCATTCCGTTTGCAACACCTCGAAATATACATTTTAGACCCCACAAAGTATATATATTCTTGATCAGCATAATATTCTATGTCGATTCTTCAATGTCCGTCCGTCTATCCGTCTGTGGAAATCACTCTATCTTCCGAACGAAATGAAGTAAGTTGATAAAAACTTACTCAAATGTGTATTATGTCTGCAGGACTTTTGGTATTGAAAATGAGCTATGTAGGTCCACGTCTTCGTATAGCCCCCATATAACTGTATCTTCCGATATTCGGTATTTTGATGATTTTAGCGACACTATTTACCGAAATTGTTTCAAATTAGGTATTTGAAGTTCGTAATGGATACTACAGCCTAAGACAGAAAATTAGCCATGTAGGTCCACGTCTTCGTATAGCACCCACATAACGGTACCTTCCGATATTCGGTATTTTGATGATTTTAGCGACATTATTTACCGAAATTGTTTCAAATTTTGTATTTGAAGTTCAAAATGGATACTACAGCATATGACAGGAGATTGTCTGCGCATGTCCACGCACGGTACAATGATATCAAGGTAGGGCTATGATACCATATGATTTAAATTTTTTTATTTTCTTGGCTTAATATGTCATTTTTATTTGTTTATGTATGTGTTTTCTTTTCAATAACAAAAAAATGTTCAGAAAACATTCAAAATCGGGTGTTTTCAAAATGTTTATTTCATCGTATACATCGACAAAATCTAGAGTTTTTGTAGCGAAATAATCCTTTAGAGATATATAGTACATGATTTTGAAAAGAAGTGTTGACCTTTCATTCAGTTATCGCGGTTTTCAATTATTTATTCAAAATAAATGCAACAAGTTGTTTGATTTTTTATTGTTTTGATACTAATTCTGACATTACAAGCCAAACAGGTAGACCTCTATACTTGCAATTTTTTCAAAGTTGGCCTACCTTCTCTTCATTGTACCATGGGTCCACGTATGGTACCTCCCTATATTCGGTATTTTATTTATTTTAGCTACATTATAAACAGATTTTTTTCAAGTTTAGCATTTGAATATTATAATAGCTTATGACAAAAATTGCCTATGCAGGTCCACGTCGTCGTATAGACCCTAATATACGGCTACAATCCGTATTTTTAAGATTTTAACAGAATTTTAAATGCATTTTATTTTTTGAAAATTGACAAATTTGTACCAAATGGTGGAGGGTATTCAACTTTACTTTTACATCTTTTTTACTTGTTTTTAATATAAAAGTATGTGGATTCAAAACATATTCCACTTTAAACTACAAATACCAGTAAGATCGGTTGGCGAATGCGGTAAAGTTTTCGAGTAGGATTGTCAAAATACACAATATCGTTGGTTACCGTAATACCAATTGTTAGCCATCGACATGGCATTTTATTTTGATCATGAATATATATACTTTATGGGGTCTACTACATGTTAACATACGAGATCTCTAACCTGATAAACACAGATAATTGACCAATCAAAAAAATTTTATGTATATTTTATGTTATGAGAATGTCAATGAACTGTCATATCAATTTTGGAATTGAAAATTTTAAATGGAAAATTATTGACATTTGTTAAAAATTTTTAAAAAAAGCATACCATAACAACCTTCGATTAGTGTCGTATAAGAAAACTTATAAAAATCGATTAAAAAAAAAAATATTATAATATTTGACATATCATGTTTTATGTATTCAACAATTATTTATGATTGATTATCAGGTTTAACCCGGGTAGAGATTTTATATGTAAACATTGTTTAAAGCGTTGTATTAATATTGTATTTAAACGCGCTGTAACATTTTTATTTATATTATTTTAAAATTTTTGAAATTCCAGACATTTTTCACTCGACTACAAATCTAGTTTTGTAAACATCGAAATCGACAGCTCTATTTAAAAAGGTAGCCACATACATATATATGTGTGTTTGTCGTTATGGAGTGTGTGTGTGTGTTTGTGTTCGATTATTTATTAATCCATGTGTATCTTTTCAATAATGCTCATCTCACTTGTCAATTTGATTCCCATCACTGAATATAGATTTTGTTTTGAATATTTAGTTAATATTCATCGCTTGCCCAGACAATACTGAGAATTTGTTGTCGTTTTTAATAACAAAATCTGACGGTCGGCCAACGATCTCAATTTCATTTTCAATATGAAGTGCTATTCGGTGGTACTGTGGTTTGTAATTATCTATTGTTTGTGGTCACACGTTAAGGCTGATGGGTTAATGGAGGTGTTCAAGTGGAAGCAAATTGACTTTTACAATCGGGGAAGTAATCCTCAGCTATTGTCTGCAACAACGAAACCGCCATCAAATTACCGAAATCCAGGTAACTAGCTTTAATGCAAATAGATTTGGTTAAAAATTGATTTGTGATTAATTTTCAATATTGGAGTTAGATGTCTCTTATGCCATAATTATTGCAGTCATTGTTGTTTTTCTCTAATATATATTATAATATTTTAAGCAGTTTTATTTAAGTTATTTGAGTTATGTTATTGTTTTACTAATTTACAGAGAATTCTAACTTGGGCGACAAATTTAAAATGCGTACACTTAGAAAATGTCCCTTTTCAAACTATTTGTCTCAGGCATAGTATGATACAATAATTACTAAGTAGGTTATATTTATCAAATGCGGAAAAAGCAGCTCTGAAGTTTGAGTCTTGTAACTTCTAATAACAAATGCAACAACAAAGTACGGCTGAGTTTTTATTCCAAAACGCAATAATTTATTTTTCCCAAAGGCTGTAAGTTTTAATTTCGACAGAATTGGAAATTTTTCGAAATTAATTTTGAATATTATTGTCAATAATTAAGGTAATATTGACACAATTGACGTTGAAAAATAATTGTTTATTCACAGTGGTGACCTTCGGTATTGGTATTGTTGAGGAAACATTTTCGACTTTAAAATAAATCCGGTCGTGAGAATATCCATTTTTGTATGGTAAATCTAGTTGATTTTTGTATGGTAAATCTAGTTGCATCTCAGGGTGAGATATAAACAAGTAAAAAAGTATGGGGGCTATACGATATCGTGGACCTTTATAGATAATTCTGTGCTGAGGTATAAAGTACCCACTTGGAATTCCTTGTGTGGATTTTCAGACAATTCCGTTGAAAAATATGGGTAAAGTTATCAAAATACCGAATATAGGGGGGTACAGTTATATGGGGGATATACGATATCGTGGACCTAGATAGATAATTCTGTACTGAGGTATAAAGTACCCACTTGGAATTCCTTGTGTTGAAAAATGTGGGTAAAGTTATCAAAATACCGAATATCGGGTGTACCGTTATATGGGGGATATACGATATCGTGGACCTATATAGATAATTCTCTGCCGAGGTATAAAGTACCCACAAGGAACTCCTTGTGTGAATTTTCAGACAATTCCGTTGAAAAATGTGGGTAAAGTTATCAAAATACCGAATATCGGGGGTACCGTTATATGGGGGATATACGATATCGTGGACCTATATAGACAATTCTCTCTCAGGGGATAAAGTATTCACAAGGAACTACTTGTGGGAATTTTCAGACAATTCCATTGAGGAGGAGGTTACCGTTATATGGGGGCTATACGATATAGTGGACCGATATAGCCCATCTACGAACTTGACCTGCCTGCAGACAAAAGAGAGATCTGTGCAAAATTTTAGCTTCCTATCTTAATTTGTTTAGACTGTAGCGTGATTACAACAGACGTACAGACGGACGGACTAAATCGTCTTAGAATTTTACGCTGATCAAGAATATATATACTTTGTTGGGTCTAAAATGATTATTTCGAAGAGTTACAAACGGAATGACGAACTTAATATACCCTCCATACTATGTATGGTGGAGGGTATAAAAACTGCAACAAAGTCAAACGCCATAATTTGTACACTTTTTTTTAAATTTTATTGAATGAAAGCAAAAAATGTCGGAAATAGTATCAAATTTTAGAATAAGTTCAGATTTGTTCGAATTGGTCATCTTTGGCACGAATTATGGCCTTCAATCGGCCAATGAAACCGTCACACACTGCCCGAATGTTGCTCTGCGGTATTTTGGCTCATTCCCGACGAGGCGCTTGCTTGAGGTGATCGACAGTTTGGTATTTGTTAGTGTCAACCTTGCTTTCCAAAATACTCCAGACACAATAGACCAACGGATTGGTATCCGTAGATTTTGGTGGTCAATGTGCGCGGTAAATGAAGCGAGGAACCTCATTTTGTAACCATTCTTGGGTGGCGCGTGCTGAGTGTGATGGTGCTGAGTCCTGTTGAAACCCGAGCTCATTTTTCAATATTTGCTGAACATACCGCAATATTCCGCTATTTCATTTCTGCTGATGTTGCTGTTTCCTTCCGTCCACTTCCTTGACGTCGGGCTACGCTACCAGTATCACGGTAACGAGAAATGGTACGAGATACAAAAGATTTATTCACATTTAAATGCTGAAGTAGGAACTTTTAAACCACTTGTGGTTTTCCAGCCAAATATTAAGAAATCACGCCTGAATTCCATCACGAATAACTTTCTTTCTGGGAAATTCTCACCAAAGTTCTTTCGTACGCTTGTCACTTAAATATTTTTAACAGCTGTCGGACGAGTGGCTTAGAAATAGATTCTACCGTGGTACAATGAAATCAAGATAGGTCACTGCTACCAATCGATTTAAATTTTTTCATTTGCCTGGTTTAACATGTCGAATTAATATGTGCATGTATTGGTCTGTTCCAGAACTGCTATGGTAGAAGAATACATGCAGATGCATCAACATTTGGGAACATTGATATGTTGAAAGATATAAAATGAGTTTTTTTTTTAAATATAAATAGATTTTAATATCTTTTCTTATACGACGTCATTCGGAAGTTATTATAGATCTCGTTTTTCAAATTTTTTTACAAAATTAAATAATTTTTCATCTAAAATTTTCAATTCCAACAGTTCATTGTCCCAGCAGTTGTGTCGATGCGTCTACCTATATTCTTTTACCATGAGAACTGCAAGAATGTAAAAGTTTTTACTACGATAACCGATTTTCCTTCTATAATATGGAAAATTTTGAATAACTAGTTTGTTCTTGTAGGTTCTGGAACAAGAAATTATTAAAATTCAGTGGTAATCATGGCACAATAACAGAAGGTACAACAAAGCTATCCCCAAATACATTTTTTTTTCTTTTGTTGCCCTTATTCTATCAAATCATATACACATTTTGTGTATGTGCGTGTATTGTTTTGAATAAAAAATACAAATTATTTCAAATTTGGTTTCAAAAGTTTCGGCGTAAATTGGTGACAAATTGTACAATTTTTGTGATAAAACTGTATTGTCCTACAATTTCAGATTCCATCTTGTGTAGCAACCCCGTAATTCCATTCTTGTTTCGCGAGTTTTTCCCAATATAAGAATTAAAAAAATTAAAAATAAACAAAACCAACTGCTGCATATTTAAAAGTCTATATGACACCATAAGACTCCAGCACAGAGTTGCATTTTTCTAGTTTCATTGAAGTTGAAAAACCTTTCTTATTGAGCCATGGTATGGACAAAGTTTACACTTTTTGTAGTGAAATAAATCTTTAGAGAAATATAGAACAAATGTTATCCTTTCATTTATTTTCTGCACTTTTTTTTTTGTTTATTTATTCAAAATCAATACAACAATAGTCCTTGTTTATTTGGTAATAAAAAACTTCTTGAATTAGTTTTGATAGTAATTCTGTCTTATAATACATACACACAGGCCTCTTTTCTTGCAAATTATTCAACTTATTTTACCTTGGCTTTATTGTACCATGGATATTACCATGGCTCAGAAAGACTCAACTTCAAGGAAACTAGGAAAATTAAACTCTGTACTGGAGTCTAATTATGTCAAATAGACTTTTTAATTGGTTTTGTTTATTAACATTTTTCACAAAAATATTATATTGCGGAGAATTCACAAATCTTGAATGGAATATTTGGTTTCTCAACAAAGTTGAGTCCAAGATAGAAGGGCAAGATTGCTTTATCCCAAAATTATACATTTTGTTGTCCCTTAACGTGGGAAATAGCCATTTCTCTTGTCTCAAAATTTGAAATCATTTCAAATTATTTCCTTTGTTATTCAAAACCATTTACACACATATACGAACCTTGTATATGTTTTGACAGAATAGGTGCACCAAAAGAAAAAAAATATTTATGGGGTAGCTTTGATCTGCCTTCTCTAATTGCGGCATGGATTCTACCACGGTACAATGATATCAAGGTAGGGCTATGATAACATATGATTTAAATTTTTTTTTATTTTCTTGGCTTAATATGTCATTTTTATTTGTTTATGTATGTGTTTTCTTTTCAATAACAAAAAAAATTGTTTAGAAAATATTCAAATTCGGGTGTTTTCAAAATGTTTATTTCAACGTATTCATCGACAAAATCTAGAGTTTTTGTAGCGAAATAATCCTTTAGAGATATATAGTACACGATTTTGAAAAGAAGTGTTGACCTTTCATTCAGTTATCGCGGTTTCCAATTATTTATTTGAAATAAATGCAACAAGTTGTTTGATTTTTTTATTATTTTGATACTAATTCTGGCATTACAAGCCAAACAGGTAGACCTCTATGCTTGCAATTTTTTCAAAGTTGGTCTACCTTCTCTTCATTGTACCATGGATTCTACCATCTACTATCGATTTTTAGTAAAATAGCACAAATTAAAATTGTACCTTTACCGATATAGTAACCTAATTGTGTACAAATGTCAGTATACACATGCGTGTGTAAATAATATAATAATTGTTCCATTTAATTAATTTTACAAAGCGATATGTCACTTGTCTGGCGTAATTATTTACATTTTAAAATTATTTGAAAATGATAGATTACTTCCAATGTGAAGAGTTGCCATTACCGATTTGGGGATAGGGTTACTTTGTTAAACATGCCGTGTGCATGTAATTCACTGCATCTATTAAACCTAGAGAGATAACCTTCAATACTGTAAGGTCATTCTAATGAACATGTTTTAATAAAACGCATTGTTTAATTTGATAATCCCATTGATTATACCTCAAATAAATTGTATATCTTCGTAATCCATGTAATTTAATATTAGATTATAGCCATTTAGATTATAGCCGTATGCGATTATTGAAAGGCAATATAATTATTACAGGTATCAGGAAACCCCAGCTGATTTGTGATTTAATTCCATTTCTTGATATACAATAGGTATGCCTTTTGTATACCCTCCACCATAGTATGGAGGGTATATTAAGTTTATTAAGTCATTCCGTTTGCAACACCTCGAAAACCTCCGTCCGTCTGTTCGTCGGTCGAAATCACTCTAGCTTCCGAACGAAATGAAGTAGGTTGATAAAATTGAAGTTCGAAATGGATACTACCGCCTAAGATAGAAAATTTTCTGTCCAGGTCCACGTCTTCGTATAGCCCTCATATAACGGTACCCCCGATATTCGGTACTTTGATGATTTTAGCGACATTATTCACTGGAATTGTTTCAATATCGGTATTTAGAGTTCGTAATGGGAACTACAGTCTGTGACAGAAAATTGTCTATGCAGGTCCGGGTCTTCGTATAGGCCCCATATATTAGTACCTCCCTATATTCGGTATTTTGATGATTTTAGGTACAATGCTCACCGAACTGGTTTGAGATGACGTATTTGAAGTTCGTAATGGATGCTACAGCCTGTAACAGAACATTTGCTATGCAGGTCTAGGTCTTCGTATAGCTCCGATATAACGGTACCTCCGTTGATGATTTTATCTACATTATTCACCGTTTATTTTAAGTTTCGAATTTAAATATGGTAATGGCTTATGACAAACAATGCCAATGTAGGCTCACGTAGAATAGACCACAATATGTATTTATGATTTTAACAAAATGTTTAACGGATTTTATTTTTGGAAAATTTCTAAATTTCTTCCAAATGGTTCAAGTGGATGGCATTCAAAGTTCGTCCCGGCCGAACTTACTGCCTTTAAATGGGTTTGATATGATATTTTACTGCAGGACAATAAAACTAATTTTCCCACGATCCCCTAGCGATTGCTTGAAGCGATGAGAGATTTGGACCTACAGCTAAGAACTATACATTCTGGGGAATGATGTGAAAGCATTAACATTAAATATTTTAAGAACCATTCTTCTGTTATTCTTAAATTGAATATGGTTGTTGTTACGTTTGTTTTACATTATATATATAAATATAAATATATATATATATATATATATATATATATATATATATATATATATATATATATATATATATATATATATATATATATATATATATATATATATATATTTTTTTTTTTTTTTTTTTTTTTGAAAGTGGGATGACTTTACCTTCTTAATTCTATCATGGAATGTGTTTTTTGTGTATAACCGACAAGAATCGTTCAAATAAAATAAATGCTTACAACTTTGGTAACCATAGTATGGATGGTATATTCACTTTGTCATTCCGTTTGTAACATCCCAAATATTCGTCGTAGACCCCATAATGTATATATATTCATAATCAGCATAAAATTCTAAGTCGATTTAACGATGTCCGCCTGTCTGTTGAAATCACGATACAGTCCACATTATTTGACTTAGAGTGTCAAAATTTAGCAGAATAATTTGTATTGTATCTAGGATGGTTGGTATTGAAAATGAGATATATCGGTTTTGGTATAGTCCCCATATAACGGTACCTCCCGATATTCGGTATTTTGACGATTTTTGCTACACTTTTTCACGGATTTGTCTGAAAATTGGTATTTCTAGGTCATAATGGGTCCTTGTTCGTGTGGAGAAACATTGTATGTATAGGCCGATGTTTTGGTATAGCCCCCACATAACGGTATCTACCGATAATCGGCATTTTGATGATTTTTGCCCCATATTTCATGGATTTGTCTAAAATTTTGTATTTGTTGGTCATAATAGGTTCCATCTCCGGGGGCGAAACATTGCATGTTTAGGTTCACGTTTTGGTATTGCCCCCGTATAACGGTACCTCCCGATATTCGGTATTTTGATGATTTTTACCATATTTTTTTCACGGATTTGTCTAAGAATTGTTATTTGTAAGTCATAATGGGTCCTAGTTCGTGTGGCGAAACATTTTATGTATAGGTCCACGCTTTAGTATAGCCCCATATAACGGTATCTCCCGATATTCGGTATTTTGATGGTTTTAGTCACATTTTTTTGGTCATTATATGTTCTAGCTCCGTTGAAGAAACATTTTTAGGTCCACGTTTTTGTATATCCCTATATAGCGGTAAAAAATTGTATTTGTGGATCATAATTGGTTCTAATGTTTTCAATACCCTAAGGTGGAGGGTACTAAAAGTTCGGCCCGGCCGTTTTTTTACTTGTTTATTTTACCGACATTTGTCGGTATCTCGAAATATGAATAAAGGAATTCACACAAGAGGAATATATACTTTTTATAAGATTTTAACCAAAACCATTCTTGATAACTCTTCAATTTTTCAATATTATTTCAGAAGGTAAAAAGTTACATCCAAGGAATGCCTTCAAAAATAAAATACAAGCAATTTCCCATTATTTTTTTTTAGGTATAATTTACTTTCCCGGTCAATATCACGGTGTCAGAAGCCGCCGTCAATCTGGTACCGAAAGGGAGGAACATTCATACATACCCTATAATAATGTTCCCATGGGCGTGACACACTACAAAGGGCGTCTTTTTGTCACAATGCCACGTAGAAGAGTGGGAATACCTTCTACTTTAAATTACATTGACATGAATGCAGATGAAAGCATGAAAAGTCCAAAATTAAAGGCATATCCAGATTTTGAAACAAATCAATTTGTGGTATGATTTCGTTGTTAAAAATATTTTAATTCTTTGCTCTAACACATATTATGTTTTTTTTTTTTTGGCAGGGTAATTCTGGTAATTTAGTTTCGGTGTATCGTACCACAGTTGATTCCTGTGGCCGTTTTTGGTTCATTGACACTGGCATGTTGGAATACCCAAGTGAGTGAATTAGAGAACAATTTTTTCCTAAGTAATCCTAATGGGTTCACTTTTCAGATAATCGCATGCAAATACAGAAACCATCGATTTGGATAATGGACTTGAAGACTGATCGTGTTATTCGTCGATTCGAAATTCCAGAATCTATAGTAACAGAAGGTCGTGGTCTTGCCAGTATAACCGTTGATACTGACAAAGGTTGCGATAAGACCTTTGCCTATGTACCAGATTTGGTAAACAGTCAGCTATATGTCTATAGGTAAGGATTTTAGTTACATTGTTTTTTACATCTGCAGCTTTATGGCAGGTAAGATTTAAACGGTAACATCATACTAACACATGTTTGTGTTTTTTACACAATTATATACAGGGTGAGATAAAAAACTGCAACCAACTTCAGACTGCTGTCATTTCTAAGCCACTCGTCCGACAGCTGGTAGCGTAACATCAGCAGAAAGTGAAGAAGCGACTTGATCGAAATTCGAGTCGCAGTGGCCGAAAAGTGATCTGAACATATTGCAATATTCCATTCGGCAAATATTGAAAAATGAGCTAGGGGTAAAGCCATTGAAATTCCAAAAAGTGCAAGAACTTACACCGCAACAGAAAGAAAATGGACTCAAAAGATCTAAAGAGTTGTTTCGCTTGGCCAAAAGTGGTGAACTGCCGAATTTGGGTTTCTCCGATGAGAAAACATTCGTTGTCCAGCAGTTTGTAAACAAACAAAATAATCGTGTTTACTTGCCAAAGAGGTCAGCTGAAAATGTGCACCTTCGGTGGGCCACCAGAACTCAAGCGCCGGCCATGATGATGGTGTGGCATCAGAATAAATGCCGTGGCATCAGAATAAATGCCGAATATCATTGCGAAAATATTTTGGAGGTAGTATTAAAGCCTTGGGCACGTAAAACTTTTGGCCGCAGACCTTGGACACTCCAACAGGACTCGGCACCATCGCACTCAGCACGCGCCACCCAAGAATAGTTACAAGTTTCTCGCTTCATTTCCAGCGCACAATGGCCATCAAAATCTCCGGATACCAATCCGTTGGACTATTGTGTCTGGAGTATTTTAGAAGGCAAATTTGTCACCAAAAAATACCAAAGTGTCGATCACCTCAAGCAAGGTTTTCGCCGTTAATGGGCCAAAATATTCGGACAACGTGTGACGGTTTCATTGGTCGTTTGAAGGCAATAATTCGTGTCAAAGGTGACAAGTACGAACAAATCTAAACTTATTCTAAAATTTTATTCAATAAAATTAAAAAAAAGGTAAAAATTATGACGTTTGACTTTGTTGCAGTTTTTTACCTCACCCTGTACTGTTAAGGTTAACCCATACAAAGATTTATAAGTAAATGCTTTATAATATGTGTTATTTGTAATTATTTGCATAGCAATCATGGTACATTGAAGACAAAGAAGGCTAAGTTGGAAAATTTGCATGTAAAGTGGCCTACCTGTATGGATTGGAAAGTCAGAATAATTATCAAAACAAATGCAACAAGCTGTTTATTATCACATAAACAAAACAACTTGTTTCATTGATTTTTAGCAAACAAACACGAAAATTGAGTGATGGTTTGAAATTTATTTTCAAAATCATGATCTTTTTTATCTAAAGATTTATTTCACTACAAAAATTGAGAACTTTTCTAATAAATTTTTATATAATAGAACACACACTTGCACAAAATATTTTTACATACAGCCAGGCAAAATTAAAATCGATTTGTTGTAGGGTACTCATTATACCACGATAGCAATCTTATAAAATATTTTTAAAGCAATTTTAGACGCGTAAATACATTGTTTCTAATTCAATGTTTTTTTGTATTTTTTCAGTTACGAGAAAAATGAAATGTGGAGTTTCCAACACAACTATTTCAACTTCGACCCGATAGCTGGCGACTTAAACATCGGTGGTCAAGTTTTCAGTTGGGATGATGGTATATTTTCCGTTGCTCTGGCACCTAAAAATGATGATGGTTCTCGCAATGTGTTATTCCATGCAATGGCCAGTTACAATGAATTCGTCGTTTCCAATGAAGTTTTACAGAATTCTCCCCGCCCGGAGAGTAATAGAGAATTTCGTCTATTAGGCAGCAGAGGTGCTGGGCGACAATCAACCATGCATGAATATGATCCACGAACCGGAGTTGTATTTTATGCTGAAATTCAACGCAATGGAGTTGGTTGTTGGAATACTCAAAAGCCTTTTAATCCTTCAAACCATGGAACAGTGGCTCAAGATGAACAGCGCATGATTTATCCTAGCGATTTGACGGTTTGTAGTTGTTATTCCAAATAACATGGAACTAAATTATTAAAAATGTTAAATTATTTCAGATTGACGAGGATGGAACAATGTGGGTCATGACCAATTCAATGCCAATTTTTATTTATTCTACATTGGATCCAAACGTTTACAATTTCCGAGTTTGGAAGCAAAGTACCGAGGTTGCAATTCGTAATACTGTCTGTGCCTAGGGCTTTCTAGATTTTTTAAGGAATAAGTGCAGGGCTTTCAGCCATTCTAGAAAGAGTAAAAAGCACATATTGATAAATATACAACTCTTATTAATTTTAAAAATTATTCTTTTAAGTAATTTTTTATTTTGTTTGACTTTGAAGAGTAAAGAATATAGGTCGTGTGTACTGTACAAGTACCATGCTACATTAATTGCAAGGTAGGGCAGGATGATTAAATTTGAAAAACACAACCCTGAATTCAGAGTCTTGTAACTTCAAATTTACCAATAACAAATACAACAAGTTTTTTTTTATTTGACACTCGTCTCATAATATTTAAATTTTGGAGTCTCCCCAAAGCTGTAAATATTAATTTAAATTTCAATAGAATTTGAAATTTTTTCTTAATTATTTTGTTTATTATTCAAAGCAATATGTACACATCCAAAACTGTACACATGTTATGACGTTACAAGACTACCAAAAGAAAAAACTGTAAAGAAAGTCCTAAAGTCGGGCGGGGCTGACTTTATGATACCCTACACCACTTTGCTAATTTAGTAGAGCTCCACATAACAATTAAAAGATTTGATGGGAGAATTTAATCATACACGCTATGATTATAATTGTAATTATAATTGTTAAAGTACAAAGGAATAAATATGCCGAAGTATTTGTATTTTTTAAATTCGGACTTGTATTGCCACATAACAATTAAAAGATTTGATGGGAGAATTTAATCATACACGCTATGATTATAATTGTAATTTAAAGTACAAAGGAATAAATATGCCGAAGTATTTGTATTTTTTAAATTCGGACTTGTATTGCCCATTTGGTGTAAAATTAATTTGAAATCAGATAAAGATATATATGGAAGCTATATCCAAATCTGAACCGATCTCGATAAAATTTGGCAATCTCGATATTATGTGCATATTACGGCTGTGGGTAACAAATACAACAAATCGGATGAACAATATATATATGGGACATACATTTGTCATACTAGCTTCTAGACTCAATTCGGTCAAATTCCATCCCATTTGGGCAAATATTAGACGTTTGGTGTACAATAAAAGGTAAATCGTACGAAGTTATATGTGGCAGCTATATTCAAATCTGAACCGATCTCGATAAAATTTAGCAAAGGTATTTTTGAGCTGCATTTGATACATTTTCCCAAATATTGTTGTTACAGAGTGCATATTACGGCTGCGGCGGACAAAAATAACAAATATATATTGGAGCTATAGCTATATCTGAACCGATTTCGATCAAATTAGGCATACTTATTTTCAGGCCTAATTTGGTTGTATGTGCAAAATTCCATACTATTCGGGCTGATATTACACGTTTGGTGCACAATAAAAGGCAAATCGATCGAAGATATATCTAATTCTAATATCTATATCTAATTTTTTACCGATAATCTCCAATTTAAATAGGGTTCGTCCTTGGCCCAACAAATGTTGTTTGGAAAATGTCATCTCAATCGGATAATAAATGCGACCTGCATTTTGTTCACAAGAATAGATGGACAGACGGACTGACATGCATAAATCAACTCAGAAAGTGATTCTATGGAGATCCTCAAAAGTAACTATGGGTCTATCTCGCTTCCTTCTCCATGTTACAAACAAATGCACAAAGACATAATACCCTTACCCCTATGCGATTGCTTGAAGTGTTGAGAGATTAGGACCAACAGAATTACTTACAAAAACAAATTTGTATGTGGTTGTTGTTCCGATTGTTGTACAACAACACTTGCTATTACGTGTATTTTTCTACCATGGGTCATCCGATAAACGTACTGATATCAATCGAATTTAAAAAATAAAATCCATTGTGCATTAAACGAATGAAAAAAATGGACAGTATGAGGGGTCTTCATTCACATGGGTGGAATTCTTGGAAGTATTCGCTATTACTTGCACTTACCAACAAAAATCAGGTGCTTTCGATCGCGAATGTAAACAAGTAAAACAGCAGGTAAGTTAGGCCGGGCCGAACTTTTTATACCCTCCACCATTTCGAAGAAACTTGAAAATTTTAAAAAAATTCGAAAACTACCACTTGAAAGAAAGCCGTTATAGGGGACTATACGAAGACGTGGACCTGCATACGAAATTTTTTTTTGTCATAGGCTGTAGTGCCCATTACGAACATCAAATACGAAATTTGTTAGAATTACGGTGAATAATGTCGCAAGAATCATGAAAATACGGAGTCGGGAGGTACCGCCATATGGGGGCTATACAAAGACATATATATTGTTGTCAAATGCATATAAAAATTGTTGTCAAATGCTGTAGGACCCACTACGAATTTCAAATATGAAATTCGAAATAATTCCGGTAAATAATATCGCTAAAATCATTGTTACGTGCCACCTAGTGTGTTGTACCAGCAAGCTCAGGGGTGCATTTTCCTCCAGTGCGGTTCCAACCCTTACACACGTAGCCCTAGGGGACGAACAATTAATACTAATAATTACTACAAAAAAAAAAAAAAAAAACGATCACTAATACTCAGTACACCAAGAATAAGGGAGTTTGGTTTTGCTTAAATCCTAGTGGTAAACAATATTATAAGGACCCAGAAAACCAAATAAAATCCGATTTTGTCTAGATGCGATAAAATGAAATGCCCTAACTATCAAGGATGCATATCCCTTGCTAAATATTGACGGGATACTGAGCCGAATTGACCAGACCCACTTCATCAGCAGTGTCGACCTGAAGTACGCCTTCTGGCAAATTGAGCTAGAGGTATCAGGTCGATCTCTGTATCAATTCTGTATCCGTTTGGCCTTTGCAACGCTGCGCAAGGGCTGTGAAGAGTAATAGATAAGGTCATATTTGGACGACCTCTTGATAAAACCAAACGATTTCGATAACCATAACCATACATTAAAGTCGAAAACGATAAAATATATACCCGGACTAGAACCTTTGAACAAGAAATTATGGAATTTGAGTGGAAACTCTGGATTCCCCAGGATATAACATGTGTATTATACGAGAAGGCACACCGTTACGGAAACTCCGTACACGATGATATAACAAAAACTTTAAACCGGTTGAAGACTTACTTTTATTGGCCCAAGATGGTTTCACAGGTGAAACAATACATCCAGAATTGTCAAGTGTGTAAAGAAATAAAACCAGCAAATCAATGGATGAGCCCCACTATTGGAAATGAGTAAATAACACAAAGACCGTTCCAAAAATTTTATATAGATCTCCTAGGAAAGTATCCTAGGTCCAAAAAAGAAAAAGCCTACATTTTTATAGTGGTCGATCATTACTCGAAATTTACATTCTGGCATGCTATGAAAGATGCTACAGCACAGAGCGTTGCAAATTTTCTGGAAAATGAAGTATTCCACACGTTTGGTGTGCCGGAGATCGCGCACAGCGACAATAGTAAACAATTTGTTTCGAAAAGCTTCGAAGAAATGGTAAAAAAAAACTATAAAATTAAACCCTTTCATACGGTATATGTAGAAAAATATGATCGCGATTGGGATCTATATTTGGCAGAGATAGAACAATCCCTTAGAACTTCAGTACACTCAGCAACAGGGGTCAACCCATTTTTCGCGTTATTTGGCTTTAATATGTTCACCAGTGGATCTGACTACCAACTGGCAAAAAAATTGTTATCCCTTACCGATCACCAAATCGATCCACTAAACAGATCGGATAAACTCGAAATTATGAGGGAAAAAGTGAAGGAAAATATGCACCGAGCATATCAAACGAGTGCCAAAAGATATAATGAAAGGGCCCGTGTTGTCAAATTTCGACCAGGACAGGATATAGAAGAAACCATGCTCTGTCCGATTTCAAAAACAACATCAACGCAAAATTCTTTAAAAAATTCATCAAATGTAGGATCGTAAAACCAATAGACAATAACATGTATGAGCTCGAGACACTTCAAGGGAAGCCATAGTGCAATATTAGGTTAAAACAAGTAAAAAAGCTGTAAGTTCGGCCGGGGAACTTTTAATACCCTCCACCATTTGGTACAAATTTGGCAATTTCCAAAAAAAAAAAAAAATAATAAAATCCGTTAAGAATTCTGTTAAAACCTTAAAAATGCCGAATGCTTATACGACACGTGGACCTGCATAGGCAACTTTTTTCATAATTTATTACAATATTTACATGCGAAACTTGAAGAAAAATCTGTTTATAATGTAGCTAAAATCATCAAAATTCCGAATATGGGGGGGTACCGTTATATGGGGGCTATACGTAGACGTGGACCTGCACAGACAATTTTCTAGAATGGTCTGAAATGTCCATTACGAACTTCACATGCGAAATTTGAAACAATCCCGGTAGATAGTGTCGCTAAAATCATCAAAATGCCGAATATTGCGGGGTACGGTATATGGGGGCTATACGAAGACGTGGACCTACATGGCCCATTTTCTGTTTTATGCTGCAGTATCTATTACGAACTTCAAATACCAAATTTGGAACAATTCCGCTAAATAATGTCGCTAAAATCATCAAAATACCGAATATCGGGGGGTACCGTTATATGGGGGCTACACGAAGACGTAGACCTGCACAGATAATTTTCTGTCTTACGCTGTAGTATCCCTTAAGAACTTCAAATGCCAAATTTGAAACAATTCCGCTAAATAATGTCGCTAAAATCATCAAAATACCGAATATCGGGAGGTACCGTTTTATGGGGGCTATATGATAACTTGGACCTACATGGCCCATTTACGAACTTAACCTGCCTACTGGCAAAATATACATGTGTGCAAAATTTTAGCCTTCTATCTCAATTTGTTCGAAAGATAGCATGATTACAACAGACAGACAGACGGACAGACAGACAGACAGACACACAGACAGACAGACAGACAGACAGACAGATAGACACACAGACAGACAGACGGACATGGCTAAATCGTCTTAGAATTTTACGCTATCCGTCTGTGGAAATCACTCTAGCTTCCGAACGAAATGAAATAGGTTGATAAAATTTACGCAAATGTGTATTATGTCTGCAGAACTTTTGGTATTGAAAATGGGCCATGTAGGTCCGTGTCTTCGTATAGCCCCCCTATAAAGGTACCCCCCGATATTCGGTATTCTGATGATTTTAGCGACATTATTTACCGGAGTTGTTTCAAATTTCGCATTTGAAGTTCGTAATGGATATTACAGCCTATGACAGAAAATTGTCTATGCAGATCCACGTTTTATAAACACCCTAATATAATAGCTACATTCGGTATTTTTAAGAATCTAACAGAATTTTTAACGGATTTTATTGTTTTTGAGAATTGCCAAAATGGTGGAAGGTATTCAAAGTTCAACCCGGCCGAACTTACAGCTTGTTTACTTGTTTATTGTTATTTGTTTTTTAAATCTTTTGTACTTTCTTTACTAAACCCCAATCCGTGCAATGAAATTATTCATAAACATGTGGTGTTTGCGTTTCTTTTGGAAAATTTCGCCCTGAAGGAAAATGCACTCCTGTGCTTGCTGGTACACAGTAGGTGGCACGTAACAATTTAGATGTAAATGTTTCCAAAAGAAATATATATAATATGTGCAATAACCATCAAGGCACAATAGGGTTACAATAGACAAATAACGGTAGTCGAATTTTCTATCCAAAAACCCATAAATTTGCAAACACAGTTTTAAATTTTAAAACTAGTGATAAATGTTCAATATTTAGGTCAAATTGTAGAAAATTAGGATTTCCGTTCCATATTTACTAGGGTCAGCTGCAATAATCTTGTTCGTTTAAGGTAACGATGAAAGTATTGGACATGAAATGTCCTGTCATGTCCTGATCTTTGCTTTTATTAGCATGTTATATGATTAAAACTGCCATGGTACTACCCACAATGTAAGTCGATATATGCTTGGAGTAAAATTCAGGAAGAAGATGTAGTATATGGAGGGGAAACGGGCAATGGTCGCAGTGAGGACGTAATCACTGGTGAGCATTGCCTCATAGTACTCTTTCACGAGTTCTTATTTTCGGCCTTGGGCAGAAAGTTGCTGTAGTACTATCTCTTCAAATGAATTAAAAAAAACTCAAATCCTTTCAACAAGTACACTTTAACAACCTTATTAGGACGCTCAAATTTTGATTAAAAAAAAAACATTTTTGAATGTATGTATACACCAACTGTTCTGCGGAATTCACCTCACAGACAAACGAGAACGCACCTAACTACCTCTGACATATGTTATTATATACTAAAAATCCATTCCATCCATTTTTTTATTTAAAAATGCGTTAATTTTTTTTTGTAAAATTAATAATACAGAGGCGAAGTAAACGCAATAGGACAAGTAGACATTTGTCATATTCTTGCATGTTCTGGAACAGGACAAATGTTGTTAACACCATTCTATGGAGGATATCATTTGTCATTCCTCCTCGAAGTATTCATTCAAAAAAATTGTTATCCCTTACCGATCACCAAATCGATCCACTAAACAGATCGGATAAACTCGAAATTATGAGGGAAAAAGTGAAGGAAAATATGCACCGAGCATATCAAACGAGTGCCAAAAGATATAATGAAAGGGCCCGTGTTGTCAAATTTCGACCAGGACAGGATATAGAAGAAACCATGCTCTGTCCGATTTCAAAAACAACATCAACGCAAAATTCTTTAAAAAATTCATCAAATGTAGGATCGTAAAACCAATAGACAATAACATGTATGAGCTCGAGACACTTCAAGGGAAGCCATAGTGCAATATTAGGTTAAAACAAGTAAAAAAGCTGTAAGTTCGGCCGGGGAACTTTTAATACCCTCCACCATTTGGTACAAATTTGGCAATTTCCAAAAAAAAAAAAATAATAAAATCCGTTAAGAATTCTGTTAAAACCTTAAAAATGCCGAATGCTTATACGACACGTGGACCTGCATAGGCAACTTTTTTCATAATTTATTACAATATTTACATGCGAAACTTGAAGAAAAATCTGTTTATAATGTAGCTAAAATCATCAAAATTCCGAATATGGGGGGGTACCGTTATATGGGGGCTATACGTAGACGTGGACCTGCACAGACAATTTTCTAGAATGGTCTGAAATGTCCATTACGAACTTCACATGCGAAATTTGAAACAATCCCGGTAGATAGTGTCGCTAAAATCATCAAAATGCCGAATATTGCGGGGTACGGTATATGGGGGCTATACGAAGACGTGGACCTACATGGCCCATTTTCTGTTTTATGCTGCAGTATCTATTACGAACTTCAAATACCAAATTTGGAACAATTCCGCTAAATAATGTCGCTAAAATCATCAAAATACCGAATATCGGGGGGTACCGTTATATGGGGGCTACACGAAGACGTAGACCTGCACAGATAATTTTCTGTCTTACGCTGTAGTATCCCTTAAGAACTTCAAATGCCAAATTTGAAACAATTCCGCTAAATAATGTCGCTAAAATCATCAAAATACCGAATATCGGGAGGTACCGTTTTATGGGGGCTATATGATAACTTGGACCTACATGGCCCATTTACGAACTTAACCTGCCTACTGGCAAAATATACATGTGTGCAAAATTTTAGCCTTCTATCTCAATTTGTTCGAAAGATAGCGTGATTACAACAGACAGACAGACGGACAGACAGACAGACAGACACACAGACAGACAGACAGACAGACAGACAGATAGACACACAGACAGACAGACGGACATGGCTAAATCGTCTTAGAATTTTACGCTATCCGTCTGTGGAAATCACTCTAGCTTCCGAACGAAATGAAATAGGTTGATAAAATTTACGCAAATGTGTATTATGTCTGCAGAACTTTTGGTATTGAAAATGGGCCATGTAGGTCCGTGTCTTCGTATAGCCCCCCTGTAAAGGTACCCCCCGATATTCGGTATTCTGATGATTTTAGCGACATTATTTACCGGAGTTGTTTCAAATTTCGCATTTGAAGTTCGTAATGGATATTACAGCCTATGACAGAAAATTGTCTATGCAGATCCACGTTTTATAAACACCCTAATATAATAGCTACATTCGGTATTTTTAAGAATCTAACAGAATTTTTAACGGATTTTATTGTTTTTGAGAATTGCCAAAATGGTGGAAGGTATTCAAAGTTCGACCCGGCCGAACTTACAGCTTGTTTACTTGTTTATTGTTATTTGTTTTTTAAATCTTTTGTACTTTCTTTACTAAACCCCAATCCGTGCAATGAAATTATTCATAAACATGTGGTGTTTGCGTTTCTTTTGGAAAATTTCGCCCTGAAGGAAAATGCACTCCTGTGCTTGCTGGTACACAGTAGGTGGCACGTAACAATTTAGATGTAAATGTTTCCAAAAGAAATATATATAATATGTGCAATAACCATCAAGGCACAATAGGGTTACAATAGACAAATAACGGTAGTCGAATTTTCTATCCAAAAACCCATAAATTTGCAAACACAGTTTTAAATTTTAAAACTAGTGATAAATGTTCAATATTTAGGTCAAATTGTAGAAAATTAGGATTTCCGTTCCATATTTACTAGGGTCAGCTGCAATAATCTTGTTCGTTTAAGGTAACGATGAAAGTATTGGACATGAAATGTCCTGTCATGTCCTGATCTTTGCTTTTATTAGCATGTTATATGATTAAAACTGCCATGGTACTACCCACAATGTAAGTCGATATATGTTTGGAGTAAAATTCAGGAAGAAGATGTAGTATATGGAGGGGAAACGGGCAATGGTCGCAGTGAGGACGTAATCACTGGTGAGCATTGCCTCATAGTACTCTTTCACGAGTTCTTATTTTCGGCCTTGGGCAGAAAGTTGCTGTAGTACTATCTCTTCAAATGAATTAAAAAAAACTCAAATCCTTTCAACAAGTACACTTTAACAACCTTATTAGGACGCTCAAATTTTGATTAAAAAAAAAACATTTTTGAATGTATGTATACACCAACTGTTCTGCGGAATTCACCTCACAGACAAACGAGAACGCACCTAACTACCTCTGACATATGTTATTATATACTAAAAATCCATTCCATCCATTTTTTTATTTAAAAATGCGTTAATTTTTTTTTGTAAAATTAATAATACAGAGGCGAAGTAAACGCAATAGGACAAGTAGACATTTGTCATATTCTTGCATGTTCTGGAACAGGACAAATGTTGTTAACACCATTCTATGGAGGATATCATTTGTCATTCCTCCTCGAAGTATTCATAATAGACCTACAAAAAAAAAAAAAAAAAAAAAAAATATATATATATATATATATATATATATATATATATATATATATATATATATATATATATATAGTTTGTAGGTCTATTATGAATATATATATTTAGTTTGTAGGCCTATTATGAATACTTCGAGGAGGAATGACAAAGTTAATACATCCTCCATAGAATGGTGTTAACAACATTTGTCCTGTTCCAGAACATGCAAGAATATGACATTTTTGCAATTTTTTCCATATCATTAAAGGGAAAAATGGTTATCGTATAATTAGGAAAAAGATCAAATGTATGGAATTTGTTTACTTATGTTCTAATGGAAATAAAAATGTATATCACGTTCAAAAATCAATTTTTCAATATACATATATATATTTAGTTGGTAGGGTCTATTATGAATACTTCGAGGAGGAATGACAAAGTTAATACATCCTCCATAGAATGATGTTAACAACATTTGTCCTGTTCCAGAACATGCAAGAAAATGACATTTTTGCAATTTTTTCCATATCATTAAAGGGAAAAATGGTTATCGTAGTAAAATGTTTTACATTCTTGCAGTTCTGGTCAGTCATTTTTATTGATATTTTAAGTCGAGTTATTCTCTAATGTTCATGAAAAAAGATAATAAAATTTAATTTTCCATAATAAAATGTAAAATCCGCATAACAATTTAAACCACTATTTCTGCAATCGAATCCTTTATAATTTCACCAGAAACTGTGTTGTATGTAAACTTACCATGTTCATTAGCAAAAATCACTCCCATTATAAAATGTGTTTAAAAATCATGGTAATTAGTTACTTTATTGCTTGTATAATTAGGAAAAAGATCAAATGTATGGAATTTGTTTACTTATGTTCTAATGGAAATAAAAATGTATATCACGTTCAAAAATCAATTTTTCATTCAATCACAAAAAGTGGGACAAACATAAAACTGATGAGTCATTTCATTACTAAACAAAAATTAGGCACTATAATATTGCATCTGATTTGACAAATCGAACGAAGAACTAATAAATATTTTTAGCCACATTCTTTCACCAAAGATGAATGATAATTGTTTGAGAAGTGTCGTAGTTAAAAGTTTAGTGTTTTTTGTAATCAATTGTTTTTTTGTTTAAGTAAGACAATAGAGGCATTTAACAACATTTTCCAATTAGTCATTAGTGAATGAATCGTAAATTTACATGTTTTGTTGCACTTAATTACCAAATAACAATTTTGCTGCTGATTTCTGTTTCATTTCATTCGTAAAATAGATTTTTCCAAAACCCATAGCAAATGTGTTGATTTGTGAGTATTATTTGGTAAATAGAATTAGAAAGTAATTAACTATATTTTTTATATGTATGTATCATATGTATATATATAAAGTCTTACGATTAGTTGTATATATAAAATATATGTGATTGCAAAAATATATATGTATATTTATGAAGATATATGTATGAACGATTGTATATATGCCTATATGAATGATTTGTTTCCGCTAGGTAATATATGTATGTATGTATATGCAATACAAAATCAAAGTTATAAATACAAGTTTTCTTCTAAAATGTGTATAATATGTATGCCTAAACGTTTCTTATTTTGATTTATATACTGACTATAAGTTACATAATACATTTTTCTACTAAAAACTTCTTGAGACAATTACACTTTTTTAAAAGCAAAATGATTCGCTTTTAATTCTTAAAGAATTCAAAAGCGAGGAATATGTTACAGTAATGAGTAAACGAAAATAAATGATTTTGTATGCAAAGTTCCACCTTTCTCGAACTAGACCACTGGGAAAAATTAATAGCTAGAGAAATATCTGCAAATTTAAACATCGATACTGGTAAAATTTAAGCTATATCCCTAATGTAGATTTGTGATACATCAATACCAACAAATCGCAATGATACAAGAAGAAGAAGAAAAAGGAATAGTGGGCACTTTGCATACAGAAGAGAAGTTATTACTTGAGATTTGAAATGTCTTCCACCTGCTAAATGTGTGTATTATTTTAAGCTGTTTGCCGCTTAATTCATTTAGGGTTATTGCACCAAATAATCCTTATAGCCGCGCAATGACTTTAATTGTTTTTTAAGCTTTGTTATTAAATCGGACGGCTGCACCAATATGGATATGTCACGACCCACCGAATTTAGACGATCTCGTATTTCATTATCCTTAAAGAACAAGTTCAGGGGGCGGCCATTTATTTCGGTTAGTACCCAAAAGGTTAAAGTTGTTCCATCGCACGATTGAGCCTGCATGTATGAAAAAGAAGGAAATAGCAATCTTCTAAAATCGTTGTGTAACAAAGATAATACCTTTGGAGGTAAGCCATGCCTTGCTGCTAAACTATTTGGCACAACATCGACAATGGTAGCAGTATTGCCATCGCGTATTAATCCTAAGCATTGCCCCTCTCTTTCGCGGCGTATGGCATAGCCCCTGCCAAACGGAATGCGGCGAACCAGAACTTCCACCTAAAAGATAGTTACAGTGGGTTAAGTAATAAAGCTGGCAGAACGGATAGTTCACTTACAAAAAGCGTATTTGTATTCCTGATGATTTTATTAGCCTCGGCTGCTGAAGTTATAGTAACACCTGCTATGGATAGTAACTGATCACCAATGTGAAGGGCATTGTACAGCACTGGGTGTTCCTTTTGCTTCCATCCAGCCACCCTGTTAATGACATAAAAACAATTATTAAAATACATTTGTTGATGATTTCAATTCCATTTTTTTTGTTGATACCCACCAAACAGCACCGAATGCATCTACCCAGGCTATTGAACCAACACAGTCTTTTCGTCGTAACTGTAAGCGCACACCTCCAGGATGCATTATTTCACGACGCAATTGCATTACTTGTTGTTCGCGTAAGGTCATTCTTTTTGTTGGGGACGCCGTGCTATTATGGTGGCCGCCTGGACTTCCACCCAAAATGTTATCGCTTATTCGAAAAGGTTGCGGTGGTTGTCGCAATGGTGGGTTTCCCCCCGTCGCTGGATTAGATCGATTTGAGAATTCATTGTTGTTAGCTCCACGTGAGTTACGCTGTCCTTGCGCATCAGAAGTCGAGGAACTACGCCTGCGTTGTTCCACCGCATCAGATGCAGTTCGATTTATAGCCACGTGCGTAGGTGTTTGTGTAACTGCAGATGGACCAGGAATATCACCATTGTTATTAGAATTCGAGATGATGGATTTGCTGCTGACATTTGTCGAAGGCGGAGTGTTTTTCGTTTTGGATGATGACATTTTATTAAGCACATGGAAATCTCGACGACTAGGTCTTGCGGTTATCACTGCCTCGGTAAGACCTCTTCTTAAGAGAAATGGGGGCCTGGGCATTTGCCCTGGTGGAGCGTTGGATGGAGACACAATTCTTCTTCTTTGAAGTGCCGGACTAGCCATTTTATTTGAAGTAATCGGCTGATCAGATGGAACTTGACTTCCTGATTTCACACGACTCTCTGGCTGTTCAAGACTGCTTGGTTTTATTGTTTGTCCCTTTGGCTTCTTGTCACTGACACCATTGATGACTGAAGACTTTGTGATAGGCGACAATGGACCTAAATCTACCTTTGTTTTGTTTTGCATGGCGTGTCTGAGAGGTGAGTTCCATTTCGGTGACATCGGTGTCAATGCATGTGACTGTTGTTGCGAAGATGAAGATGACGCAGCACCAATGTTTTCCGAAGTAAGGCAGGCATTTGATGTTGACGATGTTGGTGATTCGATGTCAACAGTCGCATTGGCCGTTGATGATAGGAATACTTTTTCATAATGCATTGAGTTATTTCGATTGTTTGGTTTCGCTGTCTTTTCGACCTCTTCTTTCACAGAACTCCTTCGCATGGCCACAGATGAGGCTTCATTTGAGTTATTTACAGTTATATTTGTGACACCAGATGTATTTGCTGATAAAATAATTTTCTTGGGCATTTTGGGAGTGGACGACGATTGAGGTGCCGATGTCGAGCACATGTTCGATGGAGGTGTGAAGCAAGTGCCATATGCGTTATCAGTACCAGCTACATGGACTGTAGTAATCTTACATTGGTCAGCGTTTGTTGAAGATGCTGGCACTACTGAAGCCAATGTGGTTTTCTTCGCTGGTGTTGTATACTGGTTACCACCCACAGACGATTTCACGGCTGTTACATCCCCTATTACTTGAATTGTGCTGCTATTGTGTTGTTGACTAATGTTACTATTACTACTATTGCTAGTACTACTGGACGGAATGATTTGTACATTACTCTTGTATTCAAATTGCTTGGCGTGTTTTAGTGATGTGGCTGCCAACGCTATATGGGTATCAGGGAATGTGAATATCTCAGCGTTTGATGTCTTTTGCGGCAATTCAGGAGGTTCGTAATCGCTATCACAAGTGGAAGTTTTATCACCATTAATCATATTTGTAGAGACTTGTATTATTGTGATATTTGTTTTTGAGTCTGCTAAAGACGATGAAGCGGTCGCCAGCTGCGTTTCAAAGTCTGAATTGACTTCTAGTTCTGTGACATTATTGCCACGGCAGCTCGAATTGGCCACAACCAATGGTTGGTGAGTATCATTAGTTGGTGTGACTTCGGGTTTATGACAATGCTTCGTCAATTGATTGCTAGAAACATCGACTGCTCCCACTGAGAGGGATCGAGATGTTTGTGGCCTAAATTTAAATATTAAGTTATATAATTTAAATTTTAAGTAATAAAATATATATTTAGCTGTTTATTTTATACAGAGTGCATCAACATTCTGGGAAGTATCTACTAATTTATAAAACAAAAACACCCGACATTTAGACAAAAAAATGGGGATGTGGGCTTTTAGGTCAATATTGTTCTTCTGCAAACATTTCTGAGTTATATTTGATATATTTCCCCAAATATCGTTGTTACATAGTGTATATTACGGCTACGGAGGATAAATATAACAAATTGGATGAACAATATATATGCGGAACTATGGGTCTATCTCGTTTCCTTTGCCTGTTACAAACAAATGCACAATGACATAATACCCTGACCACCTTGTGGTATAGGGTATAAAAACGGACGCAAATACGAATGTTTTTTAAGTACATACCTAAGAAACACAAATACCAAAGAAATAAATTTTAACATTGACATATTTTTTGAAAAATATATTTGCAATATTTCTTTATTGCTCTAAAATGGAAAAGAGCTTCAACAGCAGTGAAACTAACGATTTCGTGCTGAAATCTGAAACGTTAGACAGATTGTATAGAGACCAGGTGGCTGAGTTGCGTAATATGCTCTTGAAGAATGCTCAGGCTTCCGATATTGATGTATGTCTCAAATGGATAAAAGTGTTTAATCAGTCAACTAAAGAAGAACAATTTGCTCGCAACTGTTTATGTACTCTAATGCATAGACAATTTCAAGAATCTGGATGCTTATCTGAACCATTTATAAACCTTAATAACTGCAAAAGGAATTTGAAAAGCGTATTGGATGAATTGGATAACGAAACACAAATTGATAGTCTGAGCTTCAAAACCGAGTTTAATGTTACCTACAAATCACATGGAGGATCATGTATTGAGCGCTTTGTCAAATCTCATGAAATGGAAATCAATCAGGACAGTTCCTTAGATCAAATAAATGCCGAAATGATTCAATTAAAACACCAAATGGATAACTTACGTTTGCAATTGAGTGAAAGAGACTTCGAAAATCAAAAACTCAGAGCACTATCTGAAAAATATCGCCAAGAAAGCGAATCACAATTTTGTGATGTCAAAAATAATATCTTAAATTGTATCCGCAAAAAACTCCTTAATTTAAGACACTGTACATCTTTGCCAAAGAACTTGGAATTGTTTCCTTTTATCTTCAAAACGTTTTCAAATGATCCAGAATTTATGCAGATTGTCAAAGATCTCGACTCGGAATTCGAGGAGATATTGCGCAATCACTTCGTGTTCGAACTAAAAAATTACAAATGCAAAATAGTAAAACAACTCTGTCAAAACATTTTGAAGAAACAAACAAAACTACGTCGGAAGTACGAAAAACGTCTAAAAATCCAAAACATTACGCAGCGTTTGCAATTAAAATTGGCCAGGTTGAAATGTATATCAGAAATGCGACAAATATTTATACAATCGCAGACCCATTTTGGTAAAATAGAATTGTGGGAAATTTTACACAGACTGGAAGGGAGATACGAAGCAATACTGAATGATTAAAAATTGTTTTGGAACCATATTAAACTATTATATTTACTATTGTTTGTAATTTAAAATATTATTTTTTTTATAATTTACATTGGAATAGTAGACATTTAATTGAAAAAACAGATACGACCAATCTATTTTTGAAATGAGGTATGTTAAAATAATTTTTAATGACCTGCTGAAATTGAAATATTAGTGCCAATTTAGCAAGAGACATCCCATAAAGTATATATATTCATAATCAGCATAAAATTCTAAGTCGATTTAACGATGTCCGTCTGTCTGTTGAAGTCACGATACAGCACACATTATTTAACGTAGAGCGTCAAAATTTAGCAGAACAACAATTTGTATTGTATTTGATGGTTGGCATTGATGAGATATATCGGTCCACGTTTTGGTATAGTCCCCATATAAATTGGTATTTATAGGTCATAATGGGTAGTAGTTCATGTGGCGAAACATTGTATGTATGCGTTCACGCTTTGGTATAGTCCCTATATAATGGTACCTCCCGATATTCGGTATTTTGATGATTTTTGTCTAAAAATTGATATTTACACGGACATAAAGAGGGGATCGAGAAATGCTGGCTTCTGGACACATCGGGATAGTTTTACCGTATTCTTTAACGAAGAATTAAACGAAAAAGTTTCTTGTTAATTTTTTTGTATATTTCGCCATTTTCATGTTTAATATATGATAAAACCCATCCAATAACAAAGAATGGAAATTATAAAAATATTGAATATTCTATTTACACTACAGCTGGTGCAACATAAAAGCGAAGATTTCTAAAGACACAAATAAGGATTTGCTTACTTACCTTGGAATACGTCGCTCACATTGTAATATATTTTCTAGATTGCGAACATGATCTAAAATACATAAATACAGGTTACAAAAATATGTTCAATTAAATTTGAAAAAAAAAAAAAAAATAGTTTACCAGCAGAAGCCCGATGTGCTGAAAGTACATCCAAACGAACGCTGTTATTATTGAAGCTGCCACATGCAAAATTAGCGAAGTCACCAGGATTAACATTGGGTTTTCGTAACAAAGGTCCTATACATTCCTCGTCAGCTGCCTGAGAACCACTAAAATCTAAGTCTCCGCTTTCTAAACTTAAAGTTAATGCTTTTGTTGTTACATTTGATATTTCGTCCAAATCAACGGAAGAAGATGATGAATTGGCGTCATTGATTTGTTCACTGTAAGCGCTTATTGGATCCGATAACATATTCAATAAGTTTTGGGTTAACGTGTTGGACATAGATGTTAGAAGTGGAGTGGATGTCGTTGCAATATTTTTGACGTTCGTGCTGCTCACCGATGAAGAAGAGTTGGATGATGTTGTTGATATGGTATTTGTGGTGGACGGTATACTATTAACTGTAGTTGAATTAATACTTAATCTATCATTTGTGGAAGTACTAGAGGAAGTTGACACTGCTGTTGTATTATCGGTTTCATTTTGAGCTTCGTCAGTAGTATTATTGTCGTTTGCACTGGCTGTATTTTGATGTTGCTGCTGTTGTTGGAGACTAGGCGGTATAATTCTTTCTACACCGGGCACTATTGCAGCTGGAACTGGCGGTGGTGCTGGCAATGGCGATGTAGGATCCCTTGTTGGTAATAGAGGAAGTCGAACTTCAGGCAGTTTTGTATAGAGATTTTCCCGTGGGGAAAGTATTTTCATTTCCCTCAATTTTGAGCGCAATGTTTCGACCCATTCTTGCATAATATCCCTGAAATTATGAAAAAAATAACAATACAACAAACAAAAACAAAACCTTATTAGCTCAGCTCTTCATAACAATCGACAAATGCAGCGAATGAAATTATTTTGCTATGTACGGAATGCTATAATTGTACTGCACGTTAATGGTGAATGAAAGAAGCAGCAATTAGACAATCGCTTAGATTATTAGTGGAGTAATAGCAATTGCAAACAATGAAATTGTAGGTGCCTAGTTTTTAGTATTTCAAGACAAATTACATTTCGGCACAAAACAATTTTCATTCGTCATCGCTTATGTGTTTACACTTTGCAAAGAGCTACAGCTATACTTTTGAGGTTACTGGGGGATATTTCAACATACCATGACATAGCATGAAAACGCAACACTTCATTGCTAAGCGTGACAACAAATTCGAATTCATGTGAGTTTGGAATTAGTGCGTGTGAAATGTGCAATGTATCCTGCAGTGATACAACCCATTCGGGATTGTGTGATGGCGCTTGTCTGGGTTCGGCATATCCCTCCAGCAACGCCTCGGTGTCGTCATGTACACAGAACACAACCCAGCTGCGTTCGCATTTCTGTAATAAAAGAATAATAATTAACATTGACTAACACCGCTATCCCCATGGTTGGCGGATTGTTGAAATAAAGGAACTTACTTTTGGACCGACACAAATTTTCTTTCCTTCAGCTGTCAAACGTTTTAGCCAAGTGTTTTTGTGAATTTCCCGAAATTGAGCAGCCATTTGAGGATGTAAGGACACGGCGGCTGCCGCAGGTGGAATTGAACGACTGCCTATCAAACTGGGCAATACGCTATTGGACCCAGCCATTGTGGAAACAGGAACCGTTTGGTTTGAACTTGCCAGAGAAGAACTCATTTTGTTAACAAAAACATTGCGGTTTTGAGCTATCAGAACATTCCACGTCGTGAAATACAATCAATTACTAATTTCTTTTACTTTCTTCACTTTTCTACTTTTTTTCTTGTTGGCGTTCGTTTTTTGCTTTCTTGTTAATTACTCCATGGAGGTTATTTAATTATTCTTGTTTATGTCTAAGCTGTCTAAGCGAAACACCAACGTCAACCATCAGACACCTGCCTTTGAACCACTTTGAATTCTGCCCACTCGCTGCCACACAGTCGTTGGCTTGCTGATTTCGTTCGTATTGGCAATTGTTTTTTTTTACTTTTCTTTTGACTTCTTTTTTCTTTCTTGTTGACGACGTCGTCGTTGTGTTATTGTTTTTGTTGTTCTTCGCGGTGGCTGCTTATAATGTTTTGACAACTAAATCCTTGATTCGATTCATATATTCGTTGGCCACTGCAGCAGCACTTTTGCAAAATTTTAATTCGTTTTCTTCCACTTTTCTGGCCGTTGAAGAAATTCTATTAATTGCAATTCGATGGCAGGGATATGAAATAACACTTTTCTAAAAATATTTACACTTAAATGTACATTATTCACCAAAAATTTATTAAAAATGCAGCAGCTACAAAACACTTGCAACTTCTTCCGACGCCATATTTACAATGATGCCAGATCGTAAAGTTCACTGACAGATGTCAGAAAGCTGAAAAAGTGAAGTGTACGGGTCACATATTACGTTAATAAATTAAATCTATTTGAAAGTAGGTTTCATGCATGGTACCATGCATGGCAGAAGAATACAGGTAGATGCATAAACGCTTAGGAGCATTTATATGTCAAAAAAATTTAAATGTTTTTTCAAATATAAGTAGATTTTTATATGTTTTATTATACGACATCATTTGGAGGTTATTATAATCCGTTTTTTCAACAATTTTTGCAAATTTTTATAATTTTTCATTCAACATTTTCAATTCCAAAATTGGTTTGACAGTTCATTGTCCCAGCAGCTGTGTCGACGCGTCTACCTATATTCTTCTACCATGGTACAATGAAGAGAAGGTAGGGCAACTTTAAAAAAATTGCAAGTATAGAGGTCTACCTGTTTGGCTTGTAATGTCAGAATTAGTATCAAAACAATAAAAAAATCAAACAACTTGTTGTATTTATTTTGAATAAAGAATTGTAAACCGCGAAAACTGAATGAAAGGTCAACACTTCTTTTCAAAACCAGGTTCTATATATCTCTAAAGGATTATTTCGCTACAAAAACTCTAGATTTTGTCGATGCATACGATGAAATAAACATTTTGAAAACATCCGAATTTGAATGTTTTCTGAACAATTTTTTTGTTATTGAAAAGAAAACACATACATAAACAAATAAAGATGACACATTAAGCCAAGAAAATAAAAAAATTGAAATCATATGGTATCATAGCCCTAACTTGATATCATTGTACATAGTTTTATAGTTTTGATGCTATTTCTGACATTACAAGCCAAACAGGTAGACCTCTATACTTGCAATTTTTTCAAAGTTGACCTACCTTATCTTCATTGTACCATGGTTCTGCCCTACTTTGAATTCATTGTACCATGGTTTCATGGTACTCGCATCGACACAGCTGCTGAACCAATTTTGAAATTGAAAATGTTGGATGAAAAATTATTCAAAAGAAAACATATTAGTTTTGAAAAACATTTTAAAATTTTTGACATATCAATGCTTCCAAGCGTTGATGCATCTACCTGTATTCTCCTTCCATGGTAGGTTTATAGCATGACACAATAAAAGAGGAGTAAATGAGTAAAGGTGCAAGTACAAAAAGAGTTTCTTTAATGGATGAAGTCATAGGCTGACTTCTTCGTAATAATTTCATTCTGTTTCACTTTTGGTAGTATTGTAATGTCAAAACATGCATACAGTTTTGTATGTGTATGTATTGCTCCTAATTGTAAACATTAATAATTAAAAAACAGTGTTTTGATGTTGTAAAAATGATGGGAGAATGAGTAAAATTAAAAAAAAATGTTGAATTTGTTATTGGTAAAATCGAAGCTACAAAACTCTATCTTCAAAAGTGTGTGTCATTCCGTTCGTAACTCATCGAAATAATAAGTTTAAACCTAACAAAGTATATATATTTCTGATCAGGGTAAAATTTTAAGACGATTTAGCCATGTCCGACTGTTGTAGAGACAAAACGAATTAGGATAGGATGCGTTTGTACAGATCCGTCTTTCTCTGCATGCAGATTAAGTTCGAAGATAGGCTATATTGGTCCATGGCTATATTGGGGACTATACGATAGTCCCCATATAACGGTACGCCCCAATATTCGGTATTTTGATAATTTTAGCCACGTTTTTCAATGGAATTGTTTGAAATTCTACACAAGGAGTTCTTTGTGAGCACTTTACCCCTTAAAAGAGAATTGTCTATATAGGTTCACGATATCGTATAGCCCTCATATAACGGTACCCCCCGATATTCGGTATTTTTATGATTTTAGCCACATTTTTCAACGGAATTGTCTGAAATTCCACACAAGAAGTTCATTGTGAGCACTTTACCCCCTGAAAGAGAATTGTCTATATAGGTTCACGATATCGTATATCCCCAATATAACGGTACCCCCGATATTCGGTATTTTGATTATTTTAGCCATATTTTCCAATGGAATTGTCTGAAAATCTACACAAGGAGTTCCTTGTGAGAACTTTATCCCATGGAAGATAATTATCTGTATAGGTCAACGATATCGTATAGCCCACATATAACGGTATCCCCCGATATTCGGTATACTGATGATTTTAGCTACATTTTCAATGGAATTGTCTGAAAATCCACACAAGCAGTTCCTTCTGAATACTTTACCCCGACCTAGCTGTTTTTTACTTGTTCAGATTTAATCATTTTAATTATTAGGAGTGTCTGGTTACCTTACAATTTGTAACAATTGTTACTGGAAGCCGTCTGTTAACCCGAAAGTTCTCCAAAAGAGAGCGGTTGGAGAGAGAAATTTCGACAGTTCTTTCAGTGAGAGTTTGCAAATTCTTGCAGGACAAATTTCTTCTTGCAATCACTTGCAACTCTTCTTCTTATTCATTGACATTCAACCAGATATTTTCTATTGTTTCTTTATTGTTGTGCTTTCAATTTGAAAATATTTTTTTTGGAATTAGCAAGACCAATTGTTTTCGGAGGACAACTTTACAAAATGTGAAAAATGTAATGTATAATGTAATTAGAAAATAAAAGAATATTTTCAATATTTTTAGACAAACGCCATTAACAACACTTTTTAAGGATTCCGGGGGACATATCAAACCTATCTTTCTTTTATTGCTCATATTTTTATTATATTGCTAATTTCCTTTCTATTTATAAAACTTCTAAAATTGGTGGTGCTTTCCTTCTTTTAATTCTTTTAATAAGGGACAAATTGATTTGTTTTGACAAATCAGCTGATTAGTTGCAAGCTTGCTGCAGGAATACCGTTTGTTTACTTTTCGCATTTACCTGCAAAAGAGAATAAAACTACCTTACTCTCTCAGAAAGATGTTGCTGGACAATTCCTGCAGGAAAAGTAACCAGACACACCTATTCATAGCGATCCATACAACATGTAACTTTAAAACACTTTCAAGTAATTAAACTGATGTTTTAATGACAAAAACACAATTAATTTTACATTTTCTTTGTCTTTTTATTCAAAATAATTCGCAAATTTGAATTTTTTCTCAGTTGACTAAACTTGTTATTAAACTGCTCAGACTGCACTGATGCAGGACAAGGGATTCGAAACATGTCTTAAATTCCTCCGACGTAATTTTTATTATTGCGTTAATTACTTTTCGCCTCAATTACGGAATAAATCGAAATTCTCGGCATGGTGTAAAAATTTATTTATTTCGCAATTTCTACGTCTACAGTGTTTTCTAATCATTAGGTTTGTTTTGATTCCATACGATACTCTAATGTTGCCATATTAACACCGAATAATAATATTTTCGTAATTCACCAAGTCGATCGGAATTTAAAGAAGCTAAAAAACGTTCGATTTTAAATTACGGAATTGAAACCATTCCGATTGGAATTTGTGACATGCCAGAGAGTTGAGCGTTCACCCCGAAATTTCTATCTCCGTGACACAACACACATCAACGACAAGTGTTGCTGTCATTTCTGTCCTGTTCTTGTTTTTTGGTCAATGCGTAGACAAGATAAAAATCAAACCTACTCTATGCTTAATTATCTACATTAAAATAAAAAATACGAATACAACTTCACAAAGTGCAATTAGTTTAATTATTTTGAATTTTTTTTATATTATTAACACTGACAATACCGCTCTATTTTACATTCAAATCAATGCTTTTACATGGGTGGCGTTACGTACAATTCTCTGTTGTAAGTTAGACCAAGAAATATTTAGTAAACGTTTAAATATCAAATTTTCGAAAGACCCTCCCAGCGATCTGGAACAGTGTAGAAGTACCGATCCATGGCATCAGCAAACCGCATCCTGTAACGTTCTGGTGGTATAATCGTGGGTAGTTTTCCCATGCCACCGAGTATTCCGGTCTGCTTGACAAAGGATTCTACCTTTTTGTCAAACGTGAAAGTCCGTATGTAATCTGTCAAAAGAGATTGTGATTACAAACAGAAACATTTTCTGTTCATTCATAAGTATTACCTATAATGCCCAATACCAGGACACCATTCTTATCATCGAGACCAACAAGTAGCGAATAATCCATTACTTGATTCTTTTCCAAGAAGCTAGCATCGCGATGAATGGCGTCCTTTAAAACGACTTTACTGTGTGTTAAAATGTACAACGGTTTGAGCCAGGACACTGCAATTGTAAGAACATAGATTTAAATAATTGCTGTAGGTATGTTTTCAAATTCATACTTTGAACGAAATTCTCATCCAAGAGGACAGTATCGCCTTGTTGCTGATTGTTTGGATCTACTAGACGATTTCGTTCAGAACCCTTCAAGTCAAATTTATTTTTAATATCACATTCATAGAAGAGATTTTCCATAACCAACAAGGCCTTCTCGACAACAGAGCTGTTAAAATATAATAACGTAAACGACATAAGAAATGAAATGATGGTGCAGCTTAACTTACTCTTTCTTTTTAATGGTCACTTTAAATACACCAAAAATTTTTGCCAAGAGTGTGGGCTGATTCTTTTGCTGGCATTTGCTTAAATAATCGAAATAGTTCGGAGCAAAATTTTCAAACATGCTAATATCACTTTTGTTCATTTCCTTAAGCACAAACCGATCATCTGAAATTAAAAAAAAAAAAATCGGATGACCAAAATAGATAATATAAAAGTCTAAATAAACTAACCGGAAGTTTTACAAAATCTTGAACCCGATTTTCCACCTTTAGCTTCCCATTGGACACTGGCACACAAAGACCGGGCAAAGTAACAACGGCATTCTTCAGTTGGATCCATTTGAGAGTTCGAGCTGTCCTCTTTGTTACTTTCCCATTTGATTTCGGGCACTGTGCTGTGGGATTGACCAACATCACTAGGTTTTCGGACCAATTCAATCTCTGGACCATTTTTGCTTTGTGTGACTTTCAACTCTTCACGATTTTTGATGCGTTCAATTTCTTTGTAAACCGATTTATCAAGTTTCGGAGATTTCAGTGTTTTAGCTCTCATCTGATCAAATTCATTGGCAAAATAGATTTTACACGTGAACTGAGTCTGGTTGTCATGGAATGTGATTTCGACATGAGAATTGCTTGATTTTGACTTTGCTCTTTCCTCCTCTGCGTTAACATTAGGTGGAGGTGTATTGTTTTCTTTTGAGACATCCTCAATATCATGATTTCTGAAAAAAATCAACATAAATCCAGAATCATTTAATAAAGTAAGTGAGGGTTTCTTACGTTTCCTGAGACTTTCGTTTAACATGAGGGCTGGGATTGGCACTGATTCCCGAATTACTGGATATAGAAGTTGTATCTGTAAAATGCTGTTGGGTAGCAAGTACACTCAATGCTCTTTTGTATTCAAGCGAGGTTAAACAGTAGGCTATGATCGAGCTGAAATCATGATCGTGGACAATCATTGGAAATGCACCCAAGGGTAAAGTGTAGTGTTCCAATGGACTAAACGGAGATTGCAAAAGGTTTACGGGGCCAGTTGATGGCAGCAATTGCGTTAACATTTTTTTAATGGTTTTCTTGTCAGACGTCGCAGAGCTTCCTGAGTTGGATGTTGTTGGCACTGGAGGCATGACGAAGTATGTATCTGTGCCTGATTTATCAGCACTTGTTGGTGTCTCATTGTTTTGTATACTTTCCTGATATTCATCACCACTAAGTAATCCAGCCGATCGGGGTGGGTCCGAAACTTGTTGCTGACCTACACACTTAGGAGTAGAAGAAGACTCTGCCTGTTCTGAACGCAAATCTTCGGTACAAATGGTACCGGCATCGATTGTATGATGGCCTGATTCTTGTGCTTGTTTCGATGCAATTTTCTGGGCTACAACCATTTCATGCAATCTTGGACCCCATTGATCAATACATTCGGCAAGAACCCGTTTTGCCATTAACAGGGAGTCGTTAATATCATAAGGACTTGCCTTATTTTCGGTCAACAATGTTTGTACTATTTCTACCTTTTGCTTAAATAGAAATTGGTCCTTGCTCAGGATAGCCTTGAGACTGGAAACTAGTGGCGAATTTTCGTCTTCCGTTGCTAAGTCGGCTATACGCTCGTGTATTCTTGTATAAATATCGTGACCTTTCATGGAGAAATTTTTTACATCCTCGAGCACTTCAAAACGATTAAAATTCTTTGGCGGATGAAGGTCTATTGTTAAAAATGGCAGAGCTATTTCCCAGGTATCAATAGGAGTGTATTGAAATTTGGCAACGACTCCACGATATGTAAACTGATGAATATAGTCTCGGTGCAGAGAATGTTGACAAGCGGTGGTTGAGGAACCATTGAAATTTTCATCACCCGTAGACCTTTTGCGATATGCATGTCCATGAAAACGCAATTCCAGATATTTGGCCAAAGACAAACACTTAGTAGTCTCCGACAGCGGTACACTGGGAGTAACAGCATTACATATATTACACCATGCCGTAAAGTAAATATTATTCGGATCTGAATTGGTGTTATCCTCACTGAGGAAAACTTTGACGCAACCCATTGAATGGACATAACGTCTGGTGTGGCCTAGCATTGGCAAATTACAGCGTGTGCACATATAGGAACGGCGACAACAGTAGCGCTGCAAAAATTGTCCCAACATAATATCGTGCTGTCCATAGAATTTCATATCCAGTAAAGTTGGAGTTGCGCAAAAAGAGGAAGCCCCTTTGGGATTGAAAATGAAACTACAGAATAATACTGGCAACCTTTGGTGATTTTCAATGTCCAGAGCATCTTTGTAAATGTTTCCATCGTTAGATTTTTGACTATTTTGTGACTTTTTCTCTTTGTGAGGCTTTAAAAATTTGAACACTGAAAAGAAAATTCATTAAACCTCGTGAATCTTCTCTGTGTAATTGAAAACTTACTCTTTGATCGTTTTGGATATCTTCCACCATACGCTCTAAACTCTGCCAGCAGGGTTTGTATGTCCTTATTGTCGATAGGAGCGGTGATTTTCATTTTGAGAAATTCATGGGGAGGATTTAATTCCACCTGATCTTCGTCAGTGGGTATTATCTCTGTACTCTCCAAACGTTCCATATTAAAAGAATTGGAATTAGCTGTACTTGGATCTGACCATAATTTGGAATAATACAACTCAGCTGGAAACAGTGCACGCAAAGAACATTTGCGCCCCTGCTCCGTTTCCAAATACGGCAGTGGATGTGATAGAAATGGACTAACAGATAGTATAGTTGAACTCAGGGCACTGCGAAAACGATTATCATAACGATGTTCAACGGCTAATTGTAAATTTTGAGACACTTCTAGGTTGTTCTTGTTGTCTGTAGATCTTAAGGGATCGCTAAAATCTGCAGAAACATCTGTTGATGTTGTTAAGATTTTTTCCTCTGATTTACGCTCCACTATTACTGGTCGCTTTGGGATGGCTGATCGCAATTGAGGCATTTCTTCTTCTTCCTCTTCCTCGCATTCAACATCATTGCGATGTTCTTCCACTATGCTACTGACTTTCTTTTGCGTTAAGTTTGCATTCTCGTCAGCAGGACTGGTTTCTTTGGAATCAAATATTGGAGGCTTGTGTGCCAATGCTTCTGCAAACTCGTCCAAAAGAAACGACATTTCCAAACGCCAATTATAACGAGCATAAACCAAAAAGGAGGCTATCTTTTTTACCTTGGCCAATTCCTTATTACTGCCTCCGCGCAGCAGACATGTGTAACCTCTGGGACTTTGTAACTTTTCGAAAAACATAAGTGTTTTTGTGGCGCCATTGTCATCGTGGTAATTTCGTATATAGAATGCGTCACATTTTCCCAGTTTGGGACGTTCGATATTGCCCTCGATTGTGGTGAGAACATCACATTGCAAAGTGCGAGCTAACCGTTCCATTACCGACAACTTGACATCCAAAACCAATGTGATGCCGTTTGAACGTAGAATATCTTGTGCCACACCTGCCACGTTTTTATGGACCAATACGACGTTCGGCTTGAAACTCATGATACGCGCACAAACATTTCTCAGGTACTCTTTTTCCTGGAGAAGAACTGTTGAAATGCTAACGAACTTCCCCTCGATGCGTTCATACACAATGGGGCACTGCAGCAACAGAATTTGCGGTAATTCCACACGAGTAGCCATATCCTTGTGGGCCACATTCTTGGAAAAGACGACACCCCCTACAATTGTACTCTCCAGACGTTTGCCACCGGGTACCTTTTTAAAGTTCACATAATTTCGAATGTCCATTAAGTCGTTGGTACAGTATTCCGGTTTAAAATGATTAGCAGCCCTGCAACAAAGCGGGTTAAGAACATTTGCCCATTGCAAATCTAAATTGAAGCTGCGCAGCATTTGTGTTAAAAGCTGTTCTTCGTGTTCACAGTAGGATTCTAGTAGTTTGGAAGCCGTTGTGTGCATTGCATTATCCAAATCAGCATCACGTACTGCGATTGCACCAAAAGAAGCGTCCAATGATTTTGGTGGGTGGGGCTCAATGCCGAATTGTTCATACTGAGGATGTACACTTTCCAAGGGTTGATTAATGTCAACAAAACCCTCTAATACTTGCCTGTAATATGCAAAAAAAAATTTTCTCACAAAAGAAACTTTATTATTAACAACCGACATACCTAGGGAGATCATTTACAAAACGATAGTGGAGATTTTCATCGAATTCAGTTTCTTCAGAGTCATGTACAATTGCCTGTATAAATCCTGCATCTAACATGGCATTTAGTATAGCAATTGCCTGCACTTTGTTGGAAGACTTATGATTGGTGTTGAGAAAATCGATCAGATCCGTTCCACAATTTTGTGGTGGCAAAACCTTTCGCATTTCTTCGTGCAGTGTTATTAACGAATTCGATTGCTGCAAAATATGTTTGCGATCGTCCATAGTCAAACTGATGGGCGGTTGGTGGGCAGCGAAACGTTCTTCTTGATAGCCAACTGAAACTTTTCTTTGTAACTGCAAGCGGGTGGGCTCGGCTGCAAGTTTAGCTGGCTCATTGTCACTATTTGTTTCTAATTTGCTGCTCAAATCCTGTTGCAATGCCTGCAGGTCCGAATTTAAGTCTTTGGTTATATTTGGTGAACGCAGGTAGCTAAGAACAATTTTGGAACAATAATTGCAAACTTTTAAGTCCCCTGTAAATGTAGTTGGTATGAATTTCATTTACTACGACATTGTGTATTGCTTGTTTATTTGGACACCCTACCTGAGCACATAATTATTTTTCCCGGAACGACTTGATTGCAGCATTTTGAACAGAAAATTTGTCCGCAAAGGCGACAGTGATGTTTTCGCCTAAACGTTGAGAACTTTTGTGTACAATCGTAACATTCCTTTGCCTTGGAATCGGGCATCCAGAAACGCTGTAGATCCGTATCTTTATAGTTTCGTAAATCCTGTGAGGAAAAAGTTATTAAATAATTGTTTTACGTATTCTTCTTTTTAAGTAGCAAACATTATTTTTCGAAGCCATCATGGTACGTATTCGCTTAAGAACATTTATCATTGAGCGGCCTTCACTGGCATCTGCAGGTAACACATCAGATTTGACGGTTGGGTTATTTTCATCCGTTGACACCGAGGAACTTTCATTGTTTGTGTTATTAGAATTTACAGAAGATGCATTTGTTATTGTGGTCGAATTGACACTGGACGACGAACTGTCACGTGTGATAGCTGAGTTGTCCGTTGATTTAACGTCGGCATAAAACACCGATTTTTTGACCGTATGTTGTGGTGTGGAAGATGTCTGCTGTGGAACACTGGACAAATCATTGACAGTATTGTAGCTTTGGTTGTAGGCATTTTGTATTTTGTTGACAAATCGTCCAAACAATGTATCGGGTTCCTCTTCAAAGTCCCGTACAAATTCGGTTAGCTTTGTCATTGAATGTAAATTTTGATTTTGGCTCATATTGTCAGTGTTGTTTGTTATTGATGTGCACTTGTTGAAATAAACAGATTGCTGCAATTAATACTAAGAAGCGTTGGGAATTGCCTTCTTAGAACGTGGTTAAATTTAATTGATCGTTTAGAGATGATTCGGGCGCAAGAGAACCAAGAGCCAAATCAGTCCATTTTTGTTCCTTAATTACATAAATGAGATAGTTATTAACCATTTATCTTTAAACAAGATTTGCTTTGAACTACCTGTTCACTTAGAGTTAAGTGTGAATCACCACCATCTGCTTCGGGATCGGGTAATTTGTCGGCCGGTACTAGTATCTGATCAAATGGTAGCTCTTCTTCGCGCCACTTATTATCAACAATGTCTAATAAGTGTCCATCGGCTGGTGGCTGCAATATGAATATTAAGAAATGAAAATAAAATGATTAACTTATTGATGTGCCCGTTATTCGCTTCAAAAAAAAGGAGTCAGTGTAACTGATTTATAGTCTGTAAACAAATTCTTTTATAACCCTTAATTGTTCTATAAACAATTGACATCATTTTCACACATTCAGTTAGAGTATTACCTACATTCATTTTTCATTAGGCTATTGTTTTTTATCAAAGGAAAATTACTTTTATGAAAGCTAAACGTTGGCATTAAGTTTTGAAATTTAGCCTAAAAAAATATTGGAAGAATTTAATAGGTTGTTTTTAATTTGTGAAATAGAATATAGATTTTTTACGATTGCTGAGTAGCTATGTGTCCTAATTTTGTGACAAAGATGACCTCATAAGATGACCGAAAGTGGTTATAGTAATATACCGATCAGACATTTTTTACAAATCAAATCTTATATTTTCGATAAAAGTCATTACTAGCGGGTTTTGTATAAATACATACACATATTTATTTTTCAAAGAGATTTGTTTTTTGATAGTATGTTCCCGAGCTAGAGCAAAAACTCGTTTTTTAAACCAAATCCTAAAAGTATGTATGTTGCTCTATATCTACATACTTAACTTTATTTTAAACAATCGCTCGGACACATTGAAAATTGATCGCTTCGATTTGACAATAAGTACCGTTCTACAGAGTTTTTTGTTTATAAAACCGATGTTTATGGTCAAAAGCTCCCGGCAGTTTTACCAAAAATGCTATAACCTCTTAAATATTCAGTTGAATTTCATACAAAAGGAGCACTTATTAAGTGAATTTTCCAACAAATTAATGTCTACATAAACCCCTTTCACATCCGTTAAAAAAAAAAAAACATGACATAATGTATAGGCTTAGAAACAAAGCAGACAAACATTCTGCCTGTTAGTATCAACCCACTAGAATTTTGTACGGTCAGGCTATCATTCACACAGTACATACTAAACTTTTTGTTACTCATTGTTTTTTTTTTTTTGCCCTTGAATCCGAGTAGCTTAACTTTGCCATTGCCAAATTATGGAAGTCTACCAACACTAACTACGTAAAAACAAACGCTACTACTCCAAACTCACCTGACTGTCCATCACTATTGTTCCTAAACGTTTTTAAAACTTGCCTTTTCAACAATTAACAACTAAATGGAGCCTGTGGAATTGTGTTTTTCTACAGGGCACAATTCTTACTCGAAGAGAAATGAATTCACTAATATTTTATCTTTTTATTTTCAATTGAAGCTTCTGATATCATTCTATGTCTTCTTATCTTTAGGTTTTTCAGTTTTGTTTAGCACTGACAGAAAAAAAAAAACAAACAAATTCTTTGCAAAAGTGAGTAAGTAAGTAATCGATTTATTGATACTATTTCATTTCGATAACAAAATATGTACAGTGAATGATTAGCTTAAAACTACTTCTTTCTCTGTTCCAGTACCTGCAAGAATCTACTAGTTTCTCAATTTTCTTCGATATCATAAAGGGTTATCGTAGTAAAAACTTTTACTTTTGCAATTCAAAAAATATAATCACACAAAAATTTATCACGCAAAAATATATTACCAACTAGTACAGTATTAGTATGCGGTTCACTTCATGCCCGGGAAATGTTTCTGCAAAGGTATTTACATTTCGTATTCGAACAGTAACAAAACAACTTATAATTGTATTTGCTCATGACAGTACATTGGAAGATGCACCATTTTTCTTGCAGAAGATATAAATGTGTATATACTCTCATGATAAAATATTGCTGGTAGCCGTAAAACATAATTTTAAATTACAAAATTTTGAATGAAAAGGATTTCATATTTATGAAAATTATTGATTTTTCAATATTTACAAGCATGGTACAATGAAGAGAAGGTAGGTCAACCATAGACAAATGAAAATATAGACAACGAAATGCTCTCACCGTTCATCTTCGAAAAAATCGGATCAGCAGATGTCGTCTATATCGTTTCAGGGGTTTGAGTGGGAATTTTGAAGTCACTCAATTCTAAAACGTTAAAAATAACAAAAACTGTAGGATATTTGTCAGTTGAAAATTGTTCCATAATAAAAGACAAGTGAAAACTATGTAGTGACATCGAAAAATATGAGAATATTCCAGTGAAATTCTTGAAAAACTATAAAATGTGTTTTCGAAGTCGAGTGACTTGAACGCGTAAATCAGCATGTTGACTATGCAAAACATGATGAGAGCCACCTGGATAAAAAGACAAAACTAACTTTTCGTTGTCTATATCTTCATTTGTCTATGGGTCAACTTTGAAAAAATTGCAAGTATAGAGGTCTACCTGTTTGGCTTGTAATGTCAGAATTACTATCAAAACAATAAAAAAATCAAACAACTTGTTGCATTTACTTTGAATAAATAATTGAAAACCGCGAAAACTGAATGAAAAGTCAACACTTCTTTTCAATACCAGGTTCTATATATCTCTAAAGGATTATTTCGCTACAAAAACTCTAGATTTGTCGATGCATACGATGAAATAAACATTTTGAAAACATCCGAATTTGAATGTTTTCTGAACAATTTTTTTGTTATTGAAAAGAAAACACATACATAAACAAATAAAGATGACATATTAAGCCAAGAAAATAAAAAAATTGAAATCATATGGTATCATAGCCCTACCTTGATATCATTGTACCATGTTTACAAGCATCTTCCTGTATTATTCTACCAGATATTGCATGCAGTAAATAGCCGATGCACCCAATCATAGTAGAAGAATATAGGTAGACGCGTCGACACAGCTGCTGGGACAATGAACTGTCAAACCAATTTTGGAATTGAAAATGTTGAATGGAAAATTATTTAAATTTGTAAAAATTATTGAAAAACGTGAATTATAATAGCCTCCGACTGACGTAGTATAAGAAAACATATAAAAATCTACTTATATTAAAAAAATATATTTTTTTGACATATCAATGCTCCCAAGCGTTGATGCATCTACCTGTATTCTTCTGCCATGCACCTAATGCAAGATTTTATTTTCATGGCTGAGAGTTTGCAAAATATAATTACCTTATAGCGCGTTAAAATAAAACATTTTATCCGGATAAACCAACATTATAAGGTTCTATTGCTTAATCCCGATTTATACAACCAGATTTACCACACAAAAATATATCTTCTCACTACCAGATTTATTTTAATGTTTCAATTTGAAGCCTCTGAGATCATTATCCGTTTTCTTTCTTATCCTACCCAGAGTACTCATATCATATACCACTGCTGGTTAAATAACTGGTTACTGATGACTTCTTCTTAAGAAGTAGTCGTATTACCATAGAAAAATTAGGTATAGACTAAAAAGTTGTCTCATCTGTTATCTCTGAAAAAAGTGCTTCAATAAATGCATAGACAAATGAAAATATAGACAACGAAAAGTTAGTTTTGTCTTTTTATCCAGGTGGCTCTCATCATGTTTTGCATAGTCAACATGCTGATTTTCGCGTTCAAGTCACTCGACTTCGAAAACACATTTTATAGTTTTTCAAGAATTTCACTGGAATATTCTCATATTTTTCGTTGTCACTACATAGTTTTCACTTGTCTTTTATTATGGAACAATTTTCAACTGACAAATATCCTACAGTTTTTGTTATTTTTAACGTTTTAGAATTGAGTGACTTCAAAATTCCCACTCAAACCCCTGAAACGATATAGACGACATCTGCTGATCCGATTTTTTTCGAAGATGAACGGTGAGAGCATTTCGTTGTCTATATTTTCATTTGTCTATGATAAATGTCGTTCATGCTGTGAGAGAGGTTAAGTAGACTCACTCAATTCTCTCAAAATACGAAATATTAATTATTTTTATGATTCTTTATTATTTATCAATTAAAAACGAAACATCGACTTTGTTTACTTTTACATTATCCAAATATGTCGTGAAATATAAAAATATATAACTTAAATAGCAGAAAAATTAATAAATTGTTTTCGAAGTCGAGTGACTTTACTAGCCCTGAGTGACTTGACTGGCCCAAGATCAACAATAGTGACATCTACCGGAAGGGGTAAATTTTAAAACTTTTTAGTCTATACCTTAATTTGTCTATGGTATTACCATAGACAAATAAAGGTATAGACTAAAAAGTTTTAAAATTTACCCCTTCCGGCAGATGTCACTATGATTGATGCTTATTTACGCGTTCAACCCACTCGACTTCGAAAACACATTTTATCGTTTTTCAAGAATTTCACTGGAATATTCCCATATTTTTCAATGTCATCGTGTACTTTTCACATTTCTTTTATTATGAAACAATTATCAACTGACAAATATCCTACAGTTTTTGTTATTTTTAACATTTTACAATTGAGTGACTTCAAAATTCCCACTCAAACCCCTGAAACGACATATACGACATCTGCTGACCCGATTTTTTTCGAAGATGAACGGTGAGAGCATTTCGTTGTATATATTTTCATTTGTCTATGGTCATAGACAAATTAAGGTATAGACTAAAAAGTTTTAAAATTTACCCCTTCCGGTAGATGTCACTATTGTTGATCTTGGGCCAGTCAAGTCACTCAGGGCTAGTAAAGTCACTCGACTTCGAAAACAATTTATTCATTTTTCTGCTATTTAAGTTATATATTTTTATATTTCACGACATATTTGGATAATGTAAAAGTAAACAAAGTCACTATTTCGTTTTTAATCGATAAATAATAATGAATCATAAAAATATTCAATATTTTGTATTTTGAGAGTATTGAGTGAGTCTAATGAACCTCTCTTACAGCATGAACGACATCTATTGAAGCACTTTTTTCGAAGATAACAGATGAGACAACTTTTTAGTCTATACCTTAATTTGTCTATGCTATGGTACCTCTATTGTTTACGAATGTGTGCAATGCATAACGCCGAGTACATCTGTTGCTTACGAATGAGACATAAGGAAAACATAATCAGCTGGAGGCATTCATTAAATGACCGCGGACATAGACCATAGACAAATAGAAATATGAGCGCCATCTGGATAAAAAGACAAAACTAAATTTTCGTTGTCTATATCTTCATTTGTCTATGCCGCGGAACTAGTTTGCAAAAGAGAGTAAGTAATTGAAGACAAAAACAACGTGGAAGCATTTTAATTTTGACCGCTAGAGGGAACTGTAATGTATTGAAAGATTTCGTGTAGGTGTTGTATTTATTTATTGTTGACTACAGTTAAGCCTTTTTAAGTGTTTTTGGGAGGTTTTTGCACTGAATACAAAGGGTCCGCAAACTTAAGTTTTTTTAACAAGAGCTTATCTCATTAATGGTAACACTATGTTTGAATAAACCAGTTTATGCGAGGCGCAATAGAATTCAGCTTAATCCAGATTTAGCATATTAGTTCTTATCTTCATATTTTGGCCAATTTATATGTTTTTTTATATCATTCTAATAGTATGCTTTTCTTAAAATAAAACGTGTTTTTAACACGGGCCTGGTTGGTCTTTCAACTTATTCTTATTCTCATGTTTATTAATTCTGGTTATAATCTATTTAAATAGAAAAATATGGAACTAACATATGAGCCAAATTATATGAGCCAAATTATTATACATTTTCAAACGTTTTCCACTTTTAACTACAAATAGTAAGACCGTGTGGATAATGCTGTTAAACTTTTCAAAAAACCATAAAGTGGGTGATGCCGTTATATGGGAGCCACATTAAAACGGGAACCTATATAGACAATTTTATACTTCAAAGATTGTTATCTACCAAATCTTCTTAAATACCAAATTTAAAACAATTTCGTGGGAAAATGCGACAAGGATTATCAATATCGGTGGTTACCGTTATATGACCGCTACACGAAAACGTGGATCTATATTTACAATGTTCCGCCACCGGAGCTGGAACTCATTACGAGCAACAAGTACCATTTTTGACAAATCCGTAAAAAACTGTGACTAAAAACATAAAAATACCGAATATCCGGAGGTACCGTTATGTGGGGCTATACGAAAGCGTGGACCTATATTTACAATGTCCCGCCACCGAAGTTAAAACCCATTATGACGTACAAATGCTAGTTTTTAATCAAATCCGTGAAAAAATGCGCCGAAAATCATTGAAATACCGAATATTGGAAGGTACCGTTATATGGGGGCTGTATGAAAGCGTATAGCCGAAACTCCCGATATATAACAATAGATGTAGCGGAAACTGTTATTATCGAATATACGGCATTTTTAAGACTTTTTACCAACCGATTTCACTGGCAAAAATGGAAGTGGGATTCTTTAATTTTTGAAGGTGTCTTTACTTCATGTTGGAGGGAATCAACATTTCGACCCGGCCGAACTCAACGCGTTTCTTTCTAAATTTACATAAAATAAAATACTTTTATTTTATTAGATGTAGAAAATATACACATTAGGTTGCAAATCGAATGAAAAAAATAATAAAGTTCCCATAGTATGGTGAGCTTGATAGTGTTTTTTCTATGGTTTGTTCAAACAGTCTTTGTTGCGATCTATACGCTAAACGACGTTTATTAAAAATATATCATGGCATCTTTAAAATTGGTGAGTAATGCTGAGAAAAAGTGAAACCATAGAAAATCGAAAATGAAAACAATAAATATATATATATATTCTATTGCCTACATACATTTATTCTATTTATTGTGCTCTTAAAGATCAAAGACTTTATTAACAAAGTAAGCGCGGCGAGGAAGTCTTATAATACCACTTCGCTTAACATGATTCTTTTGTGTCCCCATATTTTGAGTGCAGAAGTGTAGGTATAAAATTGTTAAGTTTTTGGAACAGGGCACAACAAAAAGGCAGAGCTACGAGCTGATTACAATTTTTCTCTAAGTGTGCCCATCTTCTGCCAATTTTGTATATGTATTTATTGTTTTGAAAAAAAAAAAAAAAAAAAATAAAACAAATTGTTTTCAAAATTAATGATTGAATGAACCGTTCGCGAATTAAAGGTAATAAACGTTTCTGCCATGGAATTGAAATATTGAACATTTTGGATCAAATTTTTGAAAGGAAATCCTGCCATGTCATTGAACTTTCGCGCTATTTAACTGATTTTAAAAAATGAGGAAAAATATAAAATACCTAGCTGAACCCGGTGCGCTTCGCTACCCCTTTTGATTTTATATGCATTCAAAATTTTATTTACGAATATATGTTGGATAAAAAAACAAATTTAAAAATTAAAAAAAAAAATATTGCACTACTTTAATGCGTTAATAAACAAAACCATTAGAAAAGCAGTAACATGACATGCATACACGAAGGGTTTGTCCTTTGGATTTATTTTTTTCATAGCAAATACCAAGCGTGCAGGAAACTGCAATTTTTTGAAGTTGAGTAGCATTTCTATTGCAATTAGTGAATTCGAGGTAGCAACATACTTCCCCGTAATAAGCGTATTTCAAATTAATTGTTGTGTTGTTTTTTAGTGTTAGCCTAAGGCGTTGTGGGTCAATGGTTCTTATTAAAATCATATCCCAATCTGATCCGATTTAAATATAATTTTAAAAAAATTACTTTGAAATTGAAATTGGTGCGTCAAATATGTGAAATCGGCCGATAATATATTTATGGGAGCTATATCCAAATCTTAACTAATTTCCAATTAATTTGCCACATTTATTATTGTAACCAAATTTCGCCACACATTCTGAATTTGATTGGTATCGGTCATATATATCATGTTTGGTGCATAACATTTATGAAATCGGCCGAAATATATATGTTAGCTATATCCACATCTCAACTGATTTCAATATAATTTGGCAGTTTTTTCTGGTGCCAGATTTTGTCTCTCTCGCTTTGGGTGCATCAAATATGTGAAATCGGCTGAGTATATATATGGGAGCTATAATCACATCTGAGCGTATTTGAATATAATTTGTCAAATTTATTTTTGTACCAAATTTAGCCACTCATGCCGAATTTCATTGGAATCGGAAATACGTATCGTGTTTTGTGCATCAAATATGTGAAATCGGCGGAAAATATATATGGGAGCTATATCCAAATCTGAACCGATTTTAGTATAATTTGACTAATTTATTTTCTAATCAAAATCCCGTTACATATTCCAAATTTCTTTGGAATCGAACATACATATCGTGTATGGTGCATAAAATACATGAAATCGGTCGAAAATATATATGAGAGCTATATCCAAATCAGAATCGATTTTAATATAATTTGACAAATGTATATTTGTTTTAATTTCCGCTACACATTCAAAATTTCATTGAAATTAGAGATACATAGCGTGTTTGGTGCATCAAATACATGAAATCGGTTGAAGATATATATGGGAGCTATATCCAAATCTGAACCGATTTCAATATAATTTGGCAATTTTTTTCTGGTGCCAGAATTCGTCTCTCTCGCTTTGGGTGCATAAAATATGTGAAATCGGCCGAGAATATATATGGGAGCTATATCGAAATCTGAACCGATTTTAATAGAATTTGACTAATTTATTTTCTAATCAAAATCCCGTCACACATTCCCAATTTCATTGGAATCGAACATACATATCGTGTTTGGTGCATCAAATAAACGAAATCGGTTGAAGATATATATGGGAGCTATATCCAAATCTGAACCGATTTCAATATAATTTGACAAATGTATATTCGTTTTAATTTCCGCTACACATTCCAAATTTCATTGAAATTAGAGATACATAGCGTGTTTGGTGCATCAAATACATGAAATCGGTCGAAAATATATATGGGAGCTATATCCAAATCTGAACCGATTTCTATATAATTTTATAAATTTATTTTCGTGTTTGAGGCATCAAATGAACGAAATCGGTCGAAAATATATATGGAAGCTATATCCAAATCTGAACCGATTTCAATATAATTTGGCAATTTTTTTTGTTCCAAATTCCGTTACGCATTCCAAATTTGGAGACTGTATCTGTAATCGATCAATAGATATCTGCATACAAAATCTAAATTTTTGGAAGGTACCTCCTATTCTGATGCTATATCTCCACTTTCAAGTGGAATTTCAGAAATATATATAGCCTATGTTACTTTCATTTGATGTTGCAGTATACATGCAAATTTTCAGGAAATCTGTTCAGCGGTTTTCGAGTCCATAAATTACAAACAAACAAACAAACATACAAACATTTTCTTCTTTTATAGATATAGATTGAGAACAACTTATAGCATATAATTTTGAATAATTCTGACAGGGAGTGTGTATAGCCTCAGGCTGTATTTCTGTAGTTCTACGAAGCTATTGTTGTATTCAATGTAAAATTGTTTTTATTTTTTTAAATGCGTTTGATAACTTACCCAGAAGCTATTTCTTTGAAAAGAGAAATAGCTCAAAGTCCCGAATCGAAGAAAAAATTTTAAAGTCTGACGCTTTTGCGCATCATGCGAAATGAAAAAGAAAATGACAAGGAGGAAATGGATGGCGTTGCCATAATAGAAAGGGATCAGGGATCTTTCAATCGATATCTGGCTACGTTTTTATACAACCAAGTCTGAGTAGCCATTTCGTAGCTACCCTATCGCCATCAAGAATGTCCATGAGAAATATTGGAAAAATTGTGGTGAAATGAAGCGAGTATAAATGGGGAAAATACGAAAATTGGCAACATAGTGTTGCAAAAGACCTAAGGAGGAAGACGGAAAAAAAGAAGTTTTGAACACTAAAAAAAGTGAATTTGTATGTGTGTAACGTATGTATAAAAACTGAGAACATGGTAATAGTGACAGTGGGAAATCAAACATTTTTGTTTGAAATTGGCCTTTGAATTTAAAGGTTGTCCTGTGTGTGTCCTAATTCTGTTTGGTGTCCGTAGCCGAGATTTTGGAATTTGGTCAGAATTGGATGCCCACAACAAGAAAATTTACAGATCGCAAGTTGTTATCTCCTGTGATATAAGGATTAAGATTTTGCCACTTTGCACGTAAAGACATCCCCGACGAGGTAATAGACACCCTTTTACTTTATTTATGTTTTGGAGCACGGAAGGAAGTCCAGGGATTTGCAATCGAAAAATAAGAAAATATATCAAAAAATTCAATTATTTGTTGAATTATAAAAATTTTAAATGGATAACGATTTGGATTAAGATATATTTTAAATTTAATTAAATAGTATAAGTATATGTTGTGATGTCCTGTCTTAATACTTCAATGTAAGGATGTTTAACGACAGTTCCCTTTAAATACCATATAAGCAATTCCAGGGAAAACTAGAGGTTAGATTATTTTGTTTCAATCAGAGTCAATCAAGTCATTTACATTAGGTAGTATTTTGATTAGAATTTGAGTTCTGAGAAGTGCAGACGTAGAAAATTCTCTAGGGTTCTCACGAGGAAAGTTTGCAATTTTTAAATAATTTTTTATGTAATATGGTGTTAGATTGTCCGTTAAAAAAAAAAAAAAAAAAAAAAACAAAATTTATCTGTTTATAGTCGTAAGTCACGTCTGTTAGTAAATAATGTTGTGATTTGAATTAGAGTGAAAGAAAATATGACCATAAAAGGGTGGGCAAATGTGGGAGTAGGAACATTAACTTTACCTTATCTGAGCAGGTGTTGCGTTTGTTTAGTGCATAGTTTTTGTAAAGTCCAAAGATTCGCTTTGAGGCCTAAAGTTTGAAGCAAATTTGCTTGAAACAATCACAAACAAGATGCTTGTTTACATTACATACCTTGTCTTAGTCGAACACACTTATTTATACTTATTTATATTTTAAAGAAGCGCTGAGGAAATTGAAAATAAACGAAATATATTTGCTAATAAAGACAATTTTGTCAAAAAATTTGTGTTGCCATTATTATGGCAAAATAGTACAGGTAGCCGCATCAACGCATGTGTGTTGGAACACATTTTTTTAATGAGAAGTAATAAAAAAAGTTATAATATTTAAACAAGTAAAAAAGCTGTAAGTTAGGCCGGGCCGAACTTTGAATACCCTCCACAATTTGGAACGAAGTTGGCCCCCATTATATGGGGGTTACACCAAAACGTGGACCTGCACAGACAATTTTCTGTCAAAGGCTGTAGTATGCATTACTAACTTCAAATACCAGATTTGAAACAATTCCGATGAATAATGTTGCTTAAATCACCAAAATACCGAAAATAGGGAGGTACTATTATATGGGGGCTATACTAAAACGTGAACCTACATGGTGCATTTTCAACACCAAATATAATATACATTTGATTAAAATTTTATCAACCTGCTTCATTTCGTTCTAAATCTAGAGTGATTTTAACAGACGGACGGACCTCAATCGATATAGAATTTTACGCTGATCAAGAATATATAATTTGTGGGGCCTAAAATGTATATTTCGAGGTGTTACAAACGGAATGACAAACTTAATATACCCTCCATACTATGGTGGAGGGTATTAAAATCCGTTAAAATTCTGTTAAAATCTTAAAAATGACGAATGTAGCCGTTGTATTAGGGTCTATACGACGAAGTGGACTTGCATAGGCAACTTTTGTCATAAGCCAATACAATATTCAAATGCGAAACATGAAAAAAATTCGGTGAATAATGTAGCTAAAATCATTAAAATACCGAATATCGGGAGGTACTATTATATGAGGGCTATACCAAAACGTGGGCCTGCACAGACAAATCTCTGTCATAGGCTGTAGTATCCATTACGAACTTCAAATACTAAATTTGAAACAATTCCGGTGAATAATGTCGCTAAAATCATCAAAATCCCGGATACCGGAGGTACCATTATATGGGGTCTATACCAGAACGTGAATCTACATGGTGCATTTTGAACACCAAAAGCCCTGCAGACAAAATATACATTTGAGTAAAATTTTATCAACCTATTTCATTTCGTTCTAAATCTAGAGTGATTTCAACCGACGGACGGACATCGCTAAATCGACATAGAAATTTATATAAAATTTGTGGGGTCTAAAATCTATATTTCGAGGTGTTACAAATGGAATGACAAACTTAATATACTCTCTATACTATGATGGAGGGAATAAAAATAACTAATATTAACAATTTTCTTTTAATACAATTGTTTATTATTCAGTTTTTGGTATGTGCTGTCTTGGCCCTTTTCTGCAATTCTTCCTCTGGTCGTCCAAGAAATGCCATTATTCCCATTCCATTGCACAGGCATTAAAGTCTTACCGTCAGAGGAGAAGGACATATTACTCAGTAAGTTACCATGGTTACTTTTATCACAGATCGACATTTGTAATGGTTTGCGTTTGTTTAGCTCAGCGGATTCCGACGGCAAGAAACATGAAAATCCTAAAGTTGATGATGAACACAAGAACCCCAGTTCTATTGACGAAGAATTTGGGTCTAAGGATGCTTCCTCCATGAGCAATGAAAATGCGGATGTTTATGATGAATACAAGGATCAACCAGCATATGCCCCTGAAAGGACTAGAAACAAAGATGGTGATATGCTCATTCTCATTCATTGTAAAAATATTTTTTTTGATTGCATAACCTATTGCCCATTTTTCATGATCCTATATTTTGTTAACGAAATCATGACATAATTAAATAAAAAATAAATAAAATAATACACATTCAAATTATTCTAAAGAAGTTTAATCATTTTCCCGCGTTCACAAATTTTAAAATATTTGCGTGTCAGTCCGTCTGTCTATGTATTTTTGTGAACAATATGCAATATTTGTTAAAATTGGTGAGAATCGATTCAAATTTAGGTATCGCTCCCATATATGTCTTCAACCGATTTCGGATTAATTGTTCATCAAATGGCCAATATCAGTCAAAATGACCTGCATTTTGACAATTCCCACGAAATTCAGTATAGAATCAAGTACATTAAATTTGTGAAAATCGGTTCAGATATAGCTATAGCTCCCATATAAATGTTTCATCCGATTTGGGGTTTTATGTCCCTCACATTCGCAATATGCACTTTGCAAGAATGATATTTGGTACAAGATATTGAGATCGGTGTAGATTTGAATATAGCTCCCATCTATATTTTAAACCGATTTCGGATTAATTGTTCACCACATGGCCAATATCAGTCAAAATGACCCGAATTTTGACACTTCCGACGGAATTCGGTATAGAAGCAAGTACATAAAATTTGGTGAAAATCGGTTCAGATACAGCTTTAGCTCCCCTATATATGTATATTATCTCATTTGTAAATGAGTGATCACATTTTTTCGAGTGTATGGCATTCCGTTCTCATCCAAACATTTGAGTATTGAATTGTTTGATAAGTTGTTAATGTTATTCGTAAACTTGTGTGTTGGCTTGTACATTTGCATTTCAGCACATATTACAACATTTACAACATTTAGTGGTTAATTGGTTGAAAAACCTCTAAGAATGATAATCAATATTGAATAAACCAAAATGAACCTGACCTTTCGCATTTATAAATATATTCGATTGGTTGCAATTGGTAGTCGATTCTTCATCGTTTGTTTCATATAAACATTTTCAACGCATATACGTCGAAAATCATAGCAAAAGTCATTATAATAGCATCCTATCATGGAGAAGAAGAGCTATATGGACAAAAATATAATGGTATATTTTACATTAGAGCTTTTTGCGGTTTACCCACATTTATTACAATCACAATCAATTTAATGTATGTTTAAAGGGTACAGAGCATGGTAGAAGAATACACAGCTGCTGGGACAATCCAATTTTGGAACTTAAATTTTTGAAAGAAAAATTATACAAATTTTTAGATTTTATACCCTACAACACTATATGTTTGGGGTATTATAAGTTTGACTGGACCAAAAATTATGTAACTTCTCGAAATATTTGTTCCCGACAAAACTATATATGGATCTTCCTATCCCACCGAGCTGAGCCGATCTAGCTTTGTCCGTCCGTCTGTCCATGTTAAGTTGTAATCACGTTACAGGTCGCCTATTGTTTTTGGAGATGGAGATAGGGATTGAAATAGACCGAAAACAAAAAAATCCTGATTTTACAGCTGCTCTATAGGTCGCAATTATAGACCAATCGACAATCGGAACTAAGCATGTGGCTAGAGTTTAAGGTTGGCCAGAAGTCTGAAATTTTGTTTAGTCATCGGAAACTATTTAGCGGTTAAAATAAACCATAGCATTAATGTAAGTAAATGCGAAAATTTCTACTAAACCGCGAATATTTTTAATCCCAACAAATCACATATACATTAAAGGGTCACTTCTGACAATTACAGTGATGCTGATAGCCAAGATATCGGGTATAAAGTAAAATAGTTACAATCTATATGTAGAAGACATTGATGTTAGTTATCTCGCTTATGAGTCAAGGACCGCCCGATTATTTTCAATTCTGATGGGTCTCTTGCCAAAAAAGTATGAAATCTAAGAAAATTCCGTAAAAATATGTCAGTAATTAATTTTTTTCCAATTTTGTCATATTTTTATCGCATGCGATTTGTTCAATTTGACTTACAATTTTGAATTGTACATTGTCTAAAGTTTTTCTACACCGCCAACACTATGTGATGAAAGTATTATCGTGCGATCCTCACGAAGTTTTGCATGGGGATAGGTTTGGGTCAGAATTAAAGCCTATTGTTATGTGAGATGTAAATTTAAGGGTTCAAATGGACCAAAAAATAATTAAAGTTTCCTGATTTTGTAGTAGCTCTACAGGACACAATTGAAAACCAATCGCCAATCGGAATTTTGCATGAGAAGAGAGTTAAGCACAGGGAAGAATTCTAGCATTTTGAAATACCTCATATCACTCATACAAATCCTATTAGAATAGCTCACATACAATAATTTATTTTCCTATATACTACTATATATATCCAATATTAATTCTATCGGCATCTACGTAACAGTCAGAATTGACTCCTTCGTCTATTTGTTATTTTGCCGGGATTAGAAGTATTCGCGGTTTAATGGAAAATTTCATTTTTATTTAACACAAATGTTATCATCAACTAAATATTACCCGATTGCCCATTACCCCATGCTAACTTCCAGGACATTTTTCAGATTTTGGTCCATTTCAACCCTTAAATATTATGCGATCACCTCCAAAAGCAATAGGGCTTTATTCTGGCCCTAGCCCTCCATTCTAAATTTCGTGAAGATCGGGCCATAATTGCGACCTGTAGACTGATCACAAATTAACATGGACAGACGACATACATAGCTAGATCAACTCAGTTTGGCGAGATAGGAAGGTCCATATATACTTTTCTATGTGGGAAAACACTATTTCAAGATATTACATAATTTTTGGCCCAATCAATCTAATAATACCCCCAACACATAGTGCTGTAGGGTATAAAAAACGAAAGCAAGTAAAAGAGCTGTAAATTCGGCCGGATCGATCTTTTAATAGCCTCCACCATTTGGAACGATTTTGGCGGTTTTCAAAAAAATAAAATTCGTTAAAACTTCTGTTAAAATCTTAAAAATACCGAATGTAGCCGTTATAATAGGGTCTATACGACGGCGTGGACCTGCATAGGCATAAACCATTACAATATCCAAATGCAAAACTTGAATAAAAAATTCGGTGAATAATGTAGCTAAAATCATTAAAATTCCGAATATATCGAGGTACCGTTATATGGGGGATGTACGAAGACGTGGACCTGCACAGACAATTTTCTGTCTTAGGCTGTAATATTTATTACGAACTTCAAACACCAAATTTGAAACATTTCCGTTTAAGCGGCACAAATCACCAAAATACCGAAAATAGGGAGGTACCATTATATGGGGGCCACACCAAAACCTGGACTTACATCACCAATTTTCAATACCAAAAGTCCAGCATACATAATTCACATTTGGGTACAGTTTTATCAACCTAGTTCATTTCGTTGGGAAGCTAGGGGGATTTCCGCAGACGGACGGACATCGCTAAATCGACATAGAAATTTATGCTGATCAAGAATATATATACTGTGTGGGGTCTAAAATGTATATTTCGAAGTGTTACAAACGGAATGACAAAGTTAATATACCCTCCATACTATGGTGAGGGTATAATAGCGATACATTATGTAGTAGAAAAGTATAAAGAGACAAATAATGCTGTAAACTTGGTGTTAAGTCACATTTGCGGCAGTCTGCAAGAACAATAATACATCTTCCAATGTCTTATCTGGAGCAAAAAAAATTATGTTTTTTGGTTAATGTCAATGTTAATGAAACGTACAGTATGCCACGTATCGGTGCATTCCTTTAGTATAAAGGTTCTGTGCTGGATATAAAAAAATCGGGCGTGAGCACATCTATATTTGTACGTTAAATCTGGCTGCATAGATCCGGTTTAAACACTATATTCTCATAATGTGAGTTAATCCGTATAAAAAATTGTTTCTAATCGTGCAGTACCGATACAGTATAAGTTCTTAATTCGAAATTCCACCCAATTTGTTATTTTTATAATACTCATTTCCCATGCGTAATGTTTATATTTTTCCATTCTAATTTATAAACGATTATAACTGACACCAATGATGTCATTCAGTTCGAGATTATAAGTCAATATGTGTTCGGCCAATATTGCCAATCATAGAATTGCAGAGTGTGGCGTGAATGGCCTTAAATTTCTAATGGGGCTTAAGTTAATTTAGATAATTGAGCGCCGCCGGACTCTTTAAACCTGTCACATGGTAACACAGCTTGTTTTTTTTGTTTTTATGGCGAATATGGTTGCATAATTACATAAATAATATTTAAATGGCATGTCTGTCATGTTGATTTTAAAAGAAACCGAAATATAAATATAGAAGATACGACTCTTTTCTTTAACAAAACACGCAAATAATTTAACATTGACCTTGTCGAAGATCACAATATCACAATAATCTCTGTAGAAGACGAGACAGAAGCAAGCAACAAAAAACCACTTACATCTGGTTTTGATGCCTCTCAACATCTGCTATTTCTATGCTAATTAAAAAACATATTCTTCGTGAAAAAATAACACATGGAACCAGTTATAACCATATAACCAATTAATAAAGCCACATAGATCATTGAAAACATTTTCAACTAACTAATTTGTAATTTTTTTATTAAACAATCTCATAGGCATTGAAAAGAAAAAAGTAAAAAAAAAAAAAAACAAAGCAAAGCTACAAAATAATGACTTAATAATTTGTACAAAAAAGACTTCGAGAGAGAATCAACCAGACAAGGATTTCAATGAACCAGGGCTCAGTTTACGGTTCTTCAACATGTAGCGGGCCTTGTAACCATCCTTGTCAGCAGTGTACATGGTGATGGTTTCAGTATCAGTCTTGTCATCGTACACAGAGTAGGTACCCATAACGACCAATTCTTCTTCGGGTGTACCGGGATTCATAATCATGCCGACTTCTTCGCGTTTGCTGCCATCGGGTTCCTCCAAGCTAAGATGTTAGATAAAAGCATACTTTAAAAATCTACTTAAGGAACACGCAACAGTCGTACTCACTTGAAACGATAGCCTTCCTTGCTGGGAGCAAAGCTATAGTGCTCCTGCATTATGGTGGGGAAAATGGCATCCAAGAGACCAGCGGAAGCCGAGGCAGAGAAGATGGCCAAAATGGCACATACCAACAACTGAAATTATTGAGAAAAAATAATGCTAAATTATAGTGTTTTTTATTTTTTTTATCCTTAAAATAAATATCAATTATTGGGCTACGAAAATTTTTCATTAATCCAGGAATATCACTTCCGGTATTACAAGTAATGAAAAGAGCATATTTTGTGCATTACGTGGACTTATATATACAATGTTTCGCCACCGAATCTAGAATACATTATAACCCATAAATACCAATTTTTAGACAAATCCGTGAAAAAATGTGGCAAAAATCATCTAAATACCGAATATCCAAAACCAAAACGTGGACCGATATATCTCATTTTCAATACCAACCACCCTAGACACAATACAAATTGTTATGATAAATGTTAACACTCTACGCTTATTATGAATATATTTACTTTATGGGGTCTACGATGAATATTCAGGATGTTACGAACGGAATGACAAAGTTAATATACCCTCCTTTGAAGAATCCTGCCGATGACTTAAGTGCTTATTGTCATTGCTGACCATTTGCAGAAGAGTGCATAGGCTTTGGAGTGCATAGTGATGTATTCCGTTTGTATGAACATTCCGCACCGGATTCAAAATAAAAATCCGCTCATTAGAAAAAATATTTATTTATATCCAGATTAGGCTAGAAAATCCTGATAGTGATAGTTTATCGGGATAATAAATTGTATTTAAATGCACTATTACTTAAGGAAAATAATTATAATTTCAGTGTAGTTTTCAACCGATTTAGTTTGATACGTTCCACCACAACTTCCCGAATCTAGTCAATCACGGATGCTGAATACTAGATTCGAAATACTTCGGCGAAGATCGTAGATTGCCTAAAGGCTGGTACACACATAATTTTACGATCCTATGTAAAGCTACTATTTTACATTTCGGTTAACCATTTTTATAACATCCTTTGAGGTGATTCAAATAATGTGTTTTCTGTAAGGAAACACTTTATAGTGCAGTAAGTACTAATATATTAATAGTATATGTGCAATGTAAATATAATATATGTTGTATACTATATAGCATTGTACACTATTTATTTCAAAAAAGTATAGCGTTTCGTTTAAGTTTAAAAGTTGTTGAGCGCGCTTAAAACACTGCTTCATAATTATTATTCACAAAATGTCCAAAAATCGCTTTACATGTGACACTAACACCATGTGGAATCTAGCCATAATGGAAGTAATTGTAATAAAAAAGGGATTCCCGGCGATCCCATAGAACCTCTGCGTTCACTTGCCTTCTAGAATTAAAAGCGAAAGCTCACATTCCTCTCGCGTCACCTCAAGTTACTGAAGAATAACTCTACAGTAACAAGTAAAAAAGCTGTAAGTTCGGCCGGGCCGAACTTTGAATACCCTCCACCATTTGGAACGAATTTGCAAAATTTCAAAAGAATAAAATTCGTTAAAAGTGCTTTTAAAATCTGAAAAATACCAAATGTTGCCGTCATATAGGGGTCTAAACTTTTGTCATAAGCCATTACAATATTCAAATGCGAAATTTGAAAAAAAAATCGGTGAATAATGTAGCTAAAATCATCAATATCGGGAGGTTCTTTTATATGGGGCAATACCAAAATGAGGACCTGCACGGACCATTTTCTTTCTTAGGCTGCAGTATCCATTACTAACATCAAATACCAAAAAAAAAAAAAAACCAAAAATTATCAAAATACCGAATATCGGGAGGTGCCGTTATATGGGGGGCATACGAAGACGTAGACCTGCACAGACAATTTTCTGCCTTAAGCTGTAGTATCCATTACGAACTTCAAATACCAAATTTGACAATTCTGGTTAATAATGTCGCTAAATCACCAAAATATCGAAAATATGGAGGTACCATTATATGGGGGCTATACCAAAACGTGGACTTGCAGACATAATATTCATTTGAGTAAAATTTTATCGACCTACTTCATTTCGTTCGGAATCTGGAGTGATTTCCACAGACGAAAAGACGGACGGACATCGCTAAATCGACATAGAATTGTATGCTGATCGAGAATTTGTGGGGTCTAAAATGTATATTTTGAGGTGTTACAAACGGAATGACAAACTTAATATACCATCCATACTATGGTGAAGGGTGGACAAACGAAGGTGAGAGTACATAAAAAGCTTATTTGGCTGGCTTCTTCTAGAGGAACAAAAGAGGTTTTGGTTGACTTAGTTCGATTTTGGCCCTACTCTTCTGTGTTCTTTTCTGCAGAAGCTAGCCGATGACTTAAGCCAGCCAAAAAAGCGTTTTAAGTACTCTCACCTTATGTGTTATTATCATTGCTGACCACATGCAGAAATGCAGAATGTGAACAATGCTTTTGTGGAAACATATGCGACTTTGGAGTGCACAGTGATGTATTCAGATTAGGCAATCTTCGATCTCCGCCTAGGGAAGTTATCGGGGAAATGTTCAGGGTGCCAATCAGCATCCGTGATTGACTAAATTCGGGAAGTTGTGGTGGAACGTATCAATCTAAATCGGTTGAAAACTACACTGGAATTATAATTATTATCCAGATAAACTCTCACTATCAGAATTTATTAGCCTAATCTGGATATATATTCAACCAGAATAAATAATAATAAATTGTATCTAAACGCAGGACAAATAATTATAATTTCAGTGAAGTTTTTAACCGATTTAGTTTGATACGTTCCACCACAACTTCCCGAATCTAGTCAATCACGGATGCTGATTGACACCATGTTCATTTCCCCGATAACTTTCCTCGGCGGAGATCGTAGGTTGCCTAAAGGCTGGTCTACACCTAATGTTAGAATCTTATGCACAGCTACTTTTTCTAAGCATTTTTGTAACATACTTTAAGGCGACTCAAATAATTTGTTTTCTGAAAGGAAATATAATACAGGGTGAGATGAAAAAACTGCAACCAACTTCAGACCGCTGTCGTTTCTAAGCCACTCCGACAGCTCTTAAAATTGTTCCAGCTCTTAAAATTGTTCCAATGACAGCTCATTATATTGTTTACAAGCGTACAAAAGCATTTTGGTGAGAATTTTCCAGAAAAACAGTTATTTGTGATGGAATTCAAGCGCGATAGTGTGATTTCTTTATATTTGACTGAAAAACCACAAACGGCTATCGTTAGAGCACTCCAGCATTTAAATGTGTATAAATCGTTTGTGTCTCGTACCATCGCTCTTTACCGTGATACTGGTAGCGTACCCCGACGTCAAGGAAGTGGACGGAAGAAAACAGCAACATCAGCAGAAATGGTTCGAAAAGTAAAGAAGCGACTTGATCGAAACCCATTGAATTAGGTTTTCTCCGATGAGAAAACATTCGTTGTCCAGCAGTTTGTAAACAAACAAAATGATCGTGTTTACTTGCCAAGGAGGTCAGCTGAAAATGTGCACCTTCTGTTGGCCACCAGAATTCAAGCGCCGGCAATCGTGAGAGTGTGGGCCGCCATAACAGCCTATGGTCACTCTCCGCTCGTATTAATCGACCGAATAAATGCCGAATATTATCGCAAAAATATTCTGGTGGGTGTATTAAAGCCTTTGGCACGCAAACATTTTGACGCAGACCTTCGACATTCCAACAGAACTCTGCATTATCGCACTCAACACGCGCTATCCAAGAATGATTACAAAATGAGGTTCCTCGCTTCATTTCCAGTGCACAATGGCCACCCAAATCTCCGGATACCAATCCGTTGGACTATTGTGTGTGGTATATTTTGGAAACAAGGTTGGCACTAAAAAATACCAAAGTGTCAATCACCTCAAGCAAGTGCTTCGCCGGGAATGGGCCAAAATTCCGCAGAACAACATTCGGGCAGCGTGTGACGGTATCATTGGCCGTTTGAAGGCCACAATTTGTACCAAAGGTGACCAATTTAAACAAATCTTAACTTAATCTAAAATTTGATACTATTTCCGACATTTTTTGCTTTCATTCAATAAAAATTAAAAAAAAAAAATTAAAAATTATGGCGTATGTTTTTGTTGCAGATTTTTAATCTCTCCCTGTATAAGGTGTTTAACAAAAATAATGTTTTCTATTTCTCTCCCTCTCTTTCCCAAAATCTTGATGGTTTGTGAGGGTAATAACAAATGGACGTCATCGTGGTGGAAAATTATCCTTAAAATAGTGTGATAAGGGAAACCATGAGAAGTTGGCCGATGCATTCCATATCCAAAATGGATCTAAGTTATATAGGAATATAACAACGATTTGTATCAAAAAACCGAGTTTCCCGCTTAATATTTTCTGCCCAGAAAATGTGAATAATTTTAGTTCAACTAATTTAATTGTATTACAATTTAAAAATTTGAAAATGAATTGAAGAGTTACTGCTCGAAACAACCGGTCGACAACGTAGGTCATGGCAGGATTGAAGACCCATCTATATATTCTGTGGAGATTTGAGGTAAACCTCTATATTAGATGTGTATTTTTAGAGTTTTCAAACTTAATGCCACATTTTATATGAAAATTATAATTCATTTCACTTTTATTATCATTGCTTTCAGGAATTTGAATGTTCCAATAACTTTTAATATCTTTTATCAACTTGAGAAGCTTAAATCCAAAAGAAAAACCGGATATTTTGAATAGGATTTTAAATTTTGTAGATATTAACATAGAACTGATATCTATTTTTTAAACCCAATGCCAATAGCACTGACATATTCAGGAATGCCCAAAAAGTAATATGTCTTGAGATTATCACATATTGATTTTTAAAAAATCATCCGTGTTATTAATATTCACTTTTCCGAATTTAATTATTTTTTTCATTCCTTTATCAATTTAATAACTCTTAATTGTTTTAATCCAAAACTGTTGGTGCCACTTCTTTTCATTTTTTCTTTTCAAACACGACTCACCAATTTTGAAGATGCCATGGTATTTTTTTTTACTTAGACACGTCTCTCAGGGTATAGATCACAACTAAGACTGTTGGATCAACCCATATCGAAGCCACCACCTAGCTTTGTTTTTTCTGAAATCGTGATGTCAATTTGCAAGATTCTTAAGATTTGCGGCCAATACAAGTTTCGTTGTTTTTGTTGCTTGATTATTATTGTTTATTATAATCTGTTGGTTAATAACATTAACTAAGCAAAAGATACAAACAGAAACAGAAAGACTAGTTGAAAGGCCAAAACCGGTCCAAGTCTCTGAAAACTGCGATAGCATGGATAGTTTTAGGAGGCACCGCAGCGATGGCATTCAAATTATACGCACACAAATTGGCCAATAATCGTCCAAGAATATCAACACTCACACTTGACCATATCTACCATGCATGGACAGGTAGCTACATAGAATATTTGACATCATGACTGAATGAGAATTTGTTAATTTTCATATCAAAGAACAACAACAACAACAGAAGCAGCAGCAACAATACGCCAACGAATAAAGCTAATGGATTTAAAAATCCCAGAAATCACCTAAAGCAGACTAATAACATAAATATGTGGAATCTTGCATTTATCATACTTTGTTGTCATAAAGGTTGTCGGTGTTTTCCGAAAATCATTAATCACGACCGCGGCGTTGTCGATGACGATTCTAGCGTGATGGGAATTTTATTTTGTGGCGCAAACTTTGTACTGTTCATTTCAAAGTGAAAATGTCTGAAGACGACAAAAGAGTTATTAACATTTTTATGATTACCGCCCATGATAAGGATTTCATGATGTTTAATATACATGAATATATGTATTCATTTGACGATATAAAGCGTGACGTCATTTTCAAAACATTTTTAAAATTTGCTAATTTGACAAACTAGCTTTCGATATACGATGCTGGTTATGTTCCACGAAATAGTTGTGAAGTAGATTTAACATGGATTTTATTGTTAGTGTTATTAATGAGATCATTTATAGAGTAGGATATAGCCAATTTGGCGATTAATTTTTAAATGTGTTTTATTTGCAAAATACAAAATACTATCGAATTAATTACTGCAATGTATGGTAGTAGGAATTGTTTCGCAACAATCTTCTTCGGGCTTATTAATTAAAGACCTGCTATTTGCTATGTTCGTTTTTTGGTTTTTCGTTTGTACATAGCTCATCATTCTTCAGATTTATTCTTTAGTTCATCTTATTCTAGATCAGATTGTAGTTCTGAGTTGATCTGCCTATTTCCTTCATTTAAGAGCGCTCTACTTTTCGAACGATATGAAATAGAGTGCTGAATTTTTTACGCATCGGTTTTTTGCAGGCAGATGAGGTTCTAAGATGGACTATCGGTCTAGGTTTTTGGTCCTCCTCTCATTTAACAGTATAATTTATTTTTTTAAGACTTTAAGACATTTTTCAAATATTTGGTTGTTGCTTTTATTTCTGGTTTAAATAATAATGTTTATACCCTCCACCATAGTATGGAGGGTATATTAAGTTTGTCATTCCGTTTGTAACACCTCGAAATATACATTTTAGACCCCACAAATTCTTGATCAGCATAAAATTCTATGTGGATTTAGCGATGTCCGTCGGTCTGTCCGTTTGTGCAAATCACTCTAGATCGATAAAATGTTCGACATTTCCAAAAAAAAATTATTACCGATATATAGGGAATTGCAAAATCAGCCAGATTTCTTATGTGATAGAAGCCCGTAGCATGAGGACCGAGGGTTGCTCTGCTCCACAGTGTTACATTAGTAGATTAATTGTGCATAGTAATTAGTTTAAGTACACTATACCTTTGCGTATTCAATTTAAACTCCATGTGATCGGGGTGGTCACACTCATTTTGTAACCATTCTTGCTGCTGGCCAACGGATGTTTTCTCTTTGGAGAAACCCAAATTCGGCAGTTCACCACTTTCGGCCAAGAGAAGCAACTCTTAAGCTCTTTTAAGTCTATTTTCTTTTTGTTGTTGCTGTGGAATTTCTCAGCTCATTTTTCAATATTTGCCGAATGGAATTTCAATGAGCCATTTTTCTGCCACAGCGACGCGGGTTTCCATCAGGTGGCTTCTTTACTTTTCGAAACATTTCTGCTGATGTTGCTGTTTTCTTCCGTCCATTTCCTTGACGTCGGGCTACGCTACCAGTATCACGGTAACGAGCGATGGTACGAGACACAAAAGATTTATTCACATTTAAATGCTGGAGTGCTCTAACGATAGCCACTTGTGGTTTTCCAGCCAAATATGAAGAAATCACACTATCACGCTTGAAATCCATAATGATTCCATAATAATTTCTAAATATGAATAAATTTTTCATGGCAAAAATTATAATAGATGTTTACGTTTGTTTATTAGTGGAGAACGATGTTAATGTTTACCAGGGGTTAAGGCGGGGAATACCTAGGTTTCGGAAAGAGCCACCAATCCTCATCAGTTTCCTTGTTTTTTGTCGGGGATGTTCTCCCAAGGAGTTACTTCAAAAATAACTCATATGACAAAAAACTTTTTTTACACAAGTGACAAGATCGTAAGCTTGATAAAAGAGGAACCAAAGAAAAGCGTAATTAAAAACCAGAAAAGCGTAAATGGCGTAAAAACTGTCCTCAAAAAGCGTAAAAAGCGCTATGTATTTTTTTAACCAAAATGCCACAATTTTCAATAAAACACTTTTTTTTAAACTAAATACTGTTTTATTCAACAATATAGATCGTATCTTATATAAACCTTTCATGCATATAAGCAAGTAAAAAACAGTAAGTTTGGTCGTTCCGAACCTTGAATACCCTCCACCATTTGGAACGAATTGGGAAATTTACAAAAAAAAAATCCATTAAAAATTCTGTTAAAATCTTAAAAATACCCAATATCGGAAGATGCCGATATATGGAAGATATACGATATTGTGGACCTCTATGGACAATTCTATTTCAGGGTGTAAAATACTCCTTGTGTAGAATTTCAGACAATTCCATTGAAAAAAAAAATCATCAAAATACCTAATATCGAGGGGTACCGTTACATGGGGGATATACGATATTGTGGACCTATATAGACAATTCTATTTCAGGAAGTAAAGTACTCACAAAGAACGCCTTGTGTAGAACTTTAGACAATTCCATACTATAAAAATATTCGAATGTATAAACATTGCCACATTTTAAAATTCTAAAAAAAGATGAAAAGCGTACGTACAGTGCTTTTTTTCGTTTCGCGCTATGCCCACTATTTTGGCGTTTTGGGGGGTCTAAAAAGCACCATAAATAGCGAGAAAAAGCACTAAGTTGGCATCGCTGGTTCCACTTACCCAATAAATACATAAAATCTATAAATAACAGTTTTGACTCAAAAAGATTGCACATCATTGGTCTGTTCCAGAACTGCAAGAATGTAAACATTTTCACTTTTTTCCGATAATGGTATCGAGAAAAATTACAAAAATAGTAGATTCTTGCAGGATCTGGAACAGAGTTATATTTAAAATTAAAAACAAAATCAATTCATATTACACATTTTTCTGCCATGAGACAAAAAATCAGCGGTTCTTGAGTTATAAGCGTAGTAATCAACACAACATTATTTTATATATATAGATTAAAAGCACAATTTTTTCCTCCCTGAAACCCATATTAATTATTTTTTTCGATATTTTGTCATTTTTCCAAAAGCTGCGTTGGGAATTGTGTGTTTCTGTTTACAGCTACTTAAAAATGTTTGTAAATGTTACGCAAACACATTTGCCACTTTTGGCACAGACTACATTTTTAGGAGCAACAAATAGTGTTGTATTCAAAAATATTTTGATTTAACATTGGATTAAAAATCCATGTTTTATGTTGATTTAATTTTGTATATAAAATCATCGTAAATTTAGGAGGATTAAGTGCATGAATTGAGTTAATGCTCTCAATTTCAGACTGCAGTCATTTCTAAGCCACTCGTCGAACAGTTATTAAAATTATTCCGGTGACACCTCATTATATTGTTTAAAAGCGTACAAATGCATTTTGGTGAGAATTTTCCAAAAAATAAGTTATTCGTGATGGAATTCAAGCGTGATTTCTTTAAATTTGGCTGGAAAACGACAAGTGGCTATAGTTAGAGCACTCCAGCATTTAAATGTGAATAAATCTTTTGTGTCTCGTATCATCGCTCGTTACCGTGATACTGGTAGCGTAGCCCGACGTCAAGGAAGTGGACGGAAGAAAACAGCAACATCAGCTGAAATGGTTCGAAAAGTAAAGAAGCGACATGATCGAAACCCGCGTCGCAGTGGCCGAAAAATGGCTCGAGAGCTGAACATATCGCAATATTCCATTCGACAATTATTGAAAAATGAGCTCGGGGCAAAGCCATTGAAATTCAAAAAGTGGAAGAACTTACACCGCAACGGAAAGAAAATAGACTCAAAAGAGCGAAAGAGTTGCTTCGCTTGGCCGAAAGTGGTGAACTGCCGAATTTGGTTTTCTCCGATGAGAAAACACTCGCTGTTCAGCAGTTTGTAAACAAACAAAATGATCGTGTTTACTTGCCAAAGAGATTAGCTGAAACTGTGCACTTTCGGTTGGCCATCAGAACTCAAGCGCCGGCCATGGTGATGGTGTGGGCCGCCATAACAGCCGATGGTCGCTCTCCGCTCGTATTAATCGACCGTGGCATCAGAAAATATAATTAAAGACTTGGGCACGCAAACATTTTGGCCGCAAACTTTGGAAATTCCAACATGACTCAGCTCCATCGCACTCAGCACGCGCCACCCAAGAATTGTTACAAAATGAGATTCCTCGCTTCATTTCCAGCGCATAATGGCCACCAAAATCTTCGGATACCAATTCGTTTGACTACTGTGTCTGGAGTATTTCGGATAGCAAGGTTGGCACTAAAAATACCAAAGTGTCGATCCCCTCAAGCAAGCGCTTCGCCGGGAATGGTTCAAATACCCCAGAGCAACTTTCGGGGAGCGTGTGACGGTTTCACTAGCCGTCTGAAGGCTATAATTCGTGCCAAAGGTGACCAATTCGAACAAATCTAAACTTATTCTCAAATTTGATGCTATTTCGGACATTTTTTTTGCTTTCAT